TGAATAACAAACACCCACACTTATCCCCCTCCCCCTTGCAATCGGACATCCTGGCCGCTGTAAGTCAAAATGACGAGGAACGTCGCGTGAAAGTTTTGTGCGAGAAACGTGGACAATCTCGGTGCTGCGGTAACGATGGTCTATTGTGGTGACAAGTGGTGTCACATGATAATTGACCAGCGAAATTTGTTACAGAACTATGTATGGCCCGATGAAGTGCGGTTAGAATTTGTCACAGAGACCAGGAGTGCGTATAGGCGTCAAAATCAGCACCTCGTCACCAGGTCGGAAAGACAGAAAGAACGCGATTGGATGCGTCACAGATGATGCTCCGCTCATGCTGTTTCGCTTCCGTATTGATGCGAGCCTGATGGCGAGACTGGGCCAGGCGGGAATTGTATTCTTCGCTAGAAGAATGACATGAATTAGCGTGGCTGTTAAAGAAGGAGACCTCGAGAAGATGGACGAGCACACACGAGGTGAAACGGTGAGTAGCCAGTTCGCCTACAGCAGCGCTGAACAGCGCTGCTGTAGGCGAATGTCAAAAATTGCAGAAAAGTATACTAGTTTTTTTTGATTGGGTTGTACGTAAACGGCTATCATGTCATCAAGGGTTCGACGAAATCTTTCGGTGAGAACGTTGGCCTGAGGGTGGTAGCTGGAAGCTATCTTGTGAGTAGTTCCAGAAGCGCGCAGTACTTCTTTACCATTTGTGACAGGAACGCTTTGCCACGGTCACTAAGCAGAACACGAGGAGCCCTATGGCGCAGCATTATTGCGTGAAGAATAAAGCCAGCATCTTCCGCAGCTGAGCCTGTAATGACAGAGGGCGTCTCGGCGTAGCGTTTCAGGTGGTCAACGGTGGTCACTATTCATCGTTTGCCAGCAGATGTGACGGGTAGAGGCCGACACCTACAACTTCGAATGGAATTGAAGGGCACAGAATTGACTGTAGAGGTCCACAGGTGCAGGTGTCAGTAGTTTACGACGCTGGGGTGGGGAGCAAGAACCGACGTACCATGCTACGAAGAAAGGCCAGGCCAGTGATACCGACATGGCCAGCAGTCAAGTCATCCTGGAAGGCTTCAAGCTCGTGAAGTCGAAGAGGGTGGGGCAGAACAGAAACGCAGCACTGACCATCAGGGCGGTAAATATGGCGGTACAGAACCCCATTGTACATCCTAAAGTGCAGGAGTTGGCGATGATGTCGCGCGTTAGGGGGATGAGAAGCTCCCGAAATGTGGTCCTTAATACGTCTGTAGTGTGGATCCGACCACTCTCGGGAGCTAAATGTTGGCTCGTCATCCGAAAAAGGTTGCCCTATCGAGGCGAGCGTATGAACTGTGGTAGATGTGGTGGTCGAGCTCTCGCCAACGCTGATATGGAGAGCACGAAGCGGGCAACAAGAAAAAGCGTGGGCGTTTTGATGTTTTCTGCCAGATCGACTTGTAAATTTTGTCAAAGCCATACTTCTGCAAGCGTAACATTCACCGACCCAAGCGTCTGGACAGCTTCTTCAGTGTAGAAAGCCAGCATAAGGCGTGGTGGTCGTAATGATTGTGAAGTGACGGCCTAGGAGATAGAGGCAAAACTTCTGCACCAACCAAACCACAGCCAGACACTCTTGCTCGGTTATCGTGTAGTTCTTCTCGGCAGTGGTGAGTACGCGACTGACATATGCAACAACTTTTTCTGGGGAAGACTTGTCGCGTTGTAGAAGAACAGCTCCTATACGATGGCCGCAAGTGTCGGTATATAATCGGTGCGGCTTTGTGAAAATGACAGAGCACTGGTTCAGGCGCGAGGGTTGAATGCCGTTTGACATTCTTGATACCACAGAAAGGGGACGTTGGAAGAAAGTAGCTGGTGTAATGTAGCAGCTATGGAGGCGAAGTTGTGGATAAACCTGCAAAAATATGAGCCGAGGTCAAGGAAACTGTGCAGCTCCATCAATATTTTGGGACGCGGAAAGTGAAGGATCACAGGAATATTGTCAGAGTTCATATATTTGCTTGCGAAAGAGCATTTCTTATTGTTTATTTGGAGAACGGCGCTGGCAAGGGACGTCAAAACTTGATCCAATTGTTCTTGGGGCTCAGGAAACGTTGACGAAATGATCACAACGTTGTCCAGGTAGCAAAGACAAGTTTTACATTTCAGGCCGCGCAGCAAAGAGTCTATCGTGCTCTCAAAAGTCGCGGGCGCGTTGCAGAGCCTGAATGGCATCACGTCGAATTCGTATAGCCCATCAGGGGCTGCGAATGCATGGGAATCAGCCAGTACCAAGAACGCAAGTCGAGGCTAAAAAAGAATTCAGAGCCTTGTAGGGAATCAAGGGGGTCGTCAATGAGTGGCATGGGGTACACGTTCTTGCGTGTGATCTTAAATAGCGCCCGGTAGTCCACGCAAAAACGCACAGAGGCATCATTTTTACGAACGAGAACAATGGGAGACGACCAAGGGCTATAGATGACGGACGGATGACTTCCCGTTTAAGCATGTCGGCAACATTTTCTTTTATAATTTTTTTTTTCAGTTAGAGACACGTGGTAGGGTCGGTGGTGTGCGATTTATGTCCCAACTGTTTGAATTCGATGTGTTGTAGTAGTAGTGTGGCCCAGCGTAAACGAGCAAATATCGAAAAAAATTTGCGTGTTTTTTGTAACAGTGCAAGCAGCTGCTGCGTATGTGAAGTTGTCAAGTTGCTGCTGATTGCGGTGATAAAGGCGGAGAAAGAAGCATACTCACCGAGGCAAGGGTCTGTGAATGCGATGGCCTGAAGTGGCATGAAAAATACAGGCTCGAAGTCAGCAACACGGGCCACATTAGTGCCCTGTGGCAGTAGGATCGCCGGTGTAGAGTTTACGGCGGTGACGAGTGCACATTCATAGTGAAAACGGAGGACACTGGACGCAAGGACTATGCCTTAACGCAAAGTAGTGACGGGGAGACACATATATCGCCGAGGTAGATGTTGTTGGACGAAATGGTGACAATTTGCTCTTGTAGTGATGGTAGTTCAATGCCTTTCACAGCGACCAGACGAAGTGACTTCTGAGTGTCATCGTCAAGCATGTAGTCGGTGTCAGTAAGGTGAACGATGCGTTGTCCGCAACAAATTGCCGCGGAAGCAGGCGACAGGAAATCCCACCCCAAAATCACTTGGTTAGAGAAGCGAAATAGGACAGCGAATTGGCATGATGGCAGATGCCGCCAATGAAAACACGTACAGCACAAAACGCGGAAGGGCGAATGATGTTGCCCTGGGCAGAAACTAACGTGCCACCATTGTAAGGCATCATTACTTTTTTTAGATGCTCACACAAATTAGCACGTATAACAGAAAACATCGCTCACGTGTCCAACAAAGCATCGATACGCACTCCTTCCACAGAAACCATGTTACACGGGCCTGATGTAGGAACTTAAGTTCTAAATTCGAATGCAGTTTTTTCTCCACAAACTGCACCATTTAGTTATCCGAATGACTATCCGAAGAGAATGAGGTAGGCCAAAGTGGCGAAGAGGAATGGTGGAATGCCGAAGGCGAGCGGCATCTCGTGTTCCGGCTGTTCCGTGGTGCATTCGATGCTGGTGGAGATGGAGACTGGTGCGGAGGAGACGAATAACGCTGACCTTGATATGAGGCCCCAGTGGACCAATCCCGTTCACGCACGTCGTAATCCGGACGCTCATCTTGCTGGCGCTTTCGGCAGAAACGAGATCTGTGGCCGCGATAGTCGCAGTAATAGATGACAGGGCGGGATGAGTAGAAGGTGTTAGGAGCACCTGGAGATAGCGTGGTCAGATGGGCCGAAGAAGCGTCAGGTGGCATCGAATGGTAGTTGCCCGTTGAAGCGACAGCAACCGACATGTACGATGTTTGCGGAAATGTCACGTGTACGTCGCTCGGAGGCGCGGCAGCAACTTGAGCGTAGGTTGATATGGGTCGAGAAACAGGTGGCCGTACGAGAGCAGGGCTGGTCAGAGATGTAAGTTTCTCCCTGATGAGGCCACGCAAGGGAACTCCCGAAGACTGTGTTGAACGTGGTGAAAGAGGTGTGAAGTCCATAGACCGCAATTCTTCGCATATAACGTCCCGTATAAGGTCACGCAGATGGCCATGAGACGTGGATTGGTGGTCGCTGGTTTATCATGCCTTGATGATGGCATCAAGGCGCTGACATTTCGCGACGACGTCAGCGATAGTAGCTGGGTTTTGTGAAGCGAAGGCATTAAAGGCAACAGGTCCTATTCCTTTCATGTAGGAAGTGTACGATTTACCGGTATGTTGTAGGCGAGTGTAGAGGGTCCTCTTCGCGACGGCGGAACGAATGGCCGGTGTCCCAAAAACGTGTTGGAGCTGGGGCTGGAATGTCGCCCAGTCGGGTAAGTCAATGACGTAGTTGAAATACCATGTCTTGGCGAGTCCAGTTAGACAGAAAGGAGCGCAACGCAGTTTGGCTGCCTCTTCCACCGATAGGCGACTCGGTCGCTCATCAACCCAGTCTTCTACGTCATGCTCCACGAAGACCAGTGAAGAGCAGGGATTCACGCTAATGACCTCTTATAAAAACAGGAGGGGCGTCTTGCCTCGGTGCGTGGTTGATCACATCAGCGCCGGCAGGCTCTTCCTCCTTCTACTACTACTACCATTATTACTACTCCTACTACTTATATTACTACTTCTATTCCTACTACTACTACTACTACTACAACTACTACTTCTCCTCCTCCTCCTCCTCCTCCTACTACTACTACTACTACTACTACTGCGAAGACGATGAAAACAATGGTGACAATGATCATACTGATTACTACTACCACTTACCAAGTATTTCTTTCTCCTCTTCGAAGTGAACTGCGTTTACTGAGTACAACGCAAGCTATGTTTCAAGAAGTCGGGAAGTCTTGCACACGATGATTTCTTGGTTTTCATCGGCCACCGTAGAACTTTATTAGGTGCAACGAGTTACTTAGCCCACGTATCATTCACTCACCGTCACCGGAGTTCCGTCCAGTTGACGGCCACCATGATTGGATACGATCACGGCTGCTGCACCGTGCCGATGTGCTGTGAGCGCTGCTTCGGCTGTGATACCCCCCCCCCGAAAAAAAGAAAACAAAAACAAAAAATATGTAAAAGAACACAGTGCGCGGTTTTTCTGTTCACGGCAACACACGAAAACACGTGAAAACAAGGCGAGACGGTTTTTCCCACATCTACCTTGCGTCACTTTATGTTTGCATTATTCCACATTTTTTTGCAATTATATCAGGAATTTTGGCATGCGGTACATAGTGATGAAAACAACAAATTTAATTGTCACTGCGCAGAACATCTCTTTCACATGCCCGCTATGCAGACTTCGCAAGACATTCTACAGTTATAGGCTCTTAGTCAGTGCCTTCTGCGTGACATGGTAAGGTTAAATTTTAGCACCTTGCAATAAATGTCGCAGAGCGTGGCAGTTCTTTTCAGTACAGGAAGTTGGATTTACAAAATTAAGAATGTTAACGAATGTATTGGCCTGCAGCTGATGGAGTGTAGTTATGTCCTCACCTCTATGGGAAAAACTAGCTGTGTGGATACTGGAAAAGATGGGGAATCCAGTGGAAATAGGGCTGGGTGTGCTGGAAATACATGATGCAGCTTACCCGTAAGAACTCCCTTTATGACTACTGGCAGCCTCGAGTGACGGCGTAGCCATTCGATGTCGTCCCAAGTAGCCGATGGTAGAACATCCATGTCACTCGAGTATTTGTCTCGTGGCTCGCATTCATTCGGTTCTTTCGAAAATGCACGCTCAATATTGGCGAAACTGCGATGACAAAAGCATGTTTAACGTCACAATTGCTACTATACCAGTCTGTAGAGAATTAAGTAGACTGGGTGACACACAGTGCTTTCTCTGGTTCAGCATGCAACCCCTTGTATCCTGGACGATGGCGGTTGTAAGACAAAACAAAAAAGTGGGTTGGTGAAATCCATTCATAAATAGTTTATTGTGAATTTTAATGTAAATAGTGAGCCGGGTTTCACGTGCCGAAACCACAATATGATTATGCGGCACGCCGTAGCGGATGACTTCAGAATTTCAGACTATGTAGCGTTTTTGAACGTGCACTGGCATTGCACATTTAACAGATAAAATTCGGCAGGTCCACGTACCTCGGGATGCAATATAACGCGAAGCATGCGGAGAGAATGCGACTGTGTTGAATAGCTTTTATTGAGCGACACGTTATGAAATGACGCCAAATATATGTACGTACTAGTGTTGTACGTGCCAAAATATGTTGAACAGTTGCAGATGTTTTATATAACTAGTTGATTGCTCCTGTGCAACGATTCCAACAAGAACACAAGTATTAGCAACAGCAGAAACAATAAGCTGATAGGAAACGCTGGGGCTTTCGAGGATAGTTGCCTGAGATCAGTGGTGAAAAAATTCAACTTCAACGCATGGCACCAAACTTGAGGGACGTTAACCCGACGTGACGGCTTTATCGTAGAAGTACATAGGTATGTTTATAAAATTGAATGCCAAGCACTGCGACGACAATCGATGTTTCAGCAGCATTAAGATCTGTTTTAAAAGTAGTTCTGAGACCTGGCGTGCCTGCGCGATGGAATCCTTGACTGCAATGCAGATTCTAAGATTGAATTCCTTCGGGGACCTTGACATTATTGTTTGCATTCGTCTGGTCAACGCTGCTAATAGCAGGTTTTTGTTAACGCTCACGAGTTAATGTTACCCATGTGTGTTCTGGTCGTCTCTGGTTAGATACTAAGTGTCAATCACCTGTGGTACATAGCCGCATGCCAGTTGCACATAGTCACCCCGGGTATGTGCCGATGTTTGGCGGGAAGTGGGACGACGACGACGAAATGATTGCTTAGCAGATCGCTGTTTCAGTATGTGTTCTCTTTTTTCACCTAATTACAAAAGAACTTCGCAAATATCACATCCATGTCCGTCGGTGATGGACGTAGACCTCCACAGACATCCACCAGATACGGCAGCGTCAGCGCTGGCCGCATCCAGGAAGCGTACGGGACTCTACAGCGACTACGACAGCGAGGGCGCTCTTGTTTACTCAATGAGCAGAAAAAAGCCTTCCGATGTCGACGACTTGAAGCTAGTGCTGAGCCGTAAAGCGAAGAGGCGGAACGTCAAAACATCTTCGTCATCGAGTACGTTGAACGACAGAGTGCCAAGAGACCCGTGACAAACGCTATTCTTTTTGTCCCTGAGGTACCTGATGGTAACTTGAAGCTCCTCAACAGGCAATCGGTCTAAATTTCCGGAGCTCTCCACTACGGCGTCTCTCATAATCATATAGTGGTTTTGGGACGTTAAACCCCATATATCAATCAAATCAACAGGCAATCGGTCTCGGTGATGCTGGAAGAACTCATGCCAAACTAGATCACAGACATCAGAGTGAACACGCATAAGAACGTATTGGCCATCGACGTTTTAATGCTGCGGCACTTAATCTATTACGCAACGTCTACGAGCTGGGAGGAATGAAAGTTCGCTCCTACATTCCTGAGAGCTCTAACGTCGTCACTGGAGTCATCTAGGATGTGGATACTGCCATTCTCAGCTCGGATTTCGGTGTTCTGGTCAAACCAGCAAATTAAGCAGGCTTCATTGCAAAAGTTGTCCATTTGGGAAACTCACGCTGCTTGAAGTTTATGTTCAAGGGCGACTCTCTTCCTTCACACGTAAAGGTGGGCCACTTTCGGCATTCTGTGCGACCTTTCGTACCGAAGCCCTTACAGGGTCAAAAGTGCATGAAGCTGGGCCACGTGAAAAGCGTATGCGAAAATAAGACGGTGTGTCCTCGATGCGCGGAAGCCCATTCTGCGGATGACTGCGAAGCAACTACCCTCAATTGCTGGAATCGTCATGGGTCACATGCAGCTTCATCAAAAGAATGCCCCAAAATCGAAAGAGAAATAGCGGTATTGAAACAAATGGTCAGAGACAATTTGACGCATCGAGGGGCTGCCAGGACCGTCCGAAAGAGGCGTCATCGTCGCCGCAATTCATCAAAGAATGCCGCCGACGCTGCATCGACAGCGCCACTCCACCACCCTTCTCTTCCACTGCCCTTACCTCCCAGACTGAAGGCGGCCAGCGCTGTACACAAACCAACGAACAGCAATGTAGCAGATGAATCAGTTTGGCCTTCATTGTCGAAATCACAGCCACCTGCGAACTCCAAGCGCACATCCATAATTACATTCCTCCAGCCAGCCGCTGACAAGCTGCCTGAAGAGGACACAGATGTCATCAGAATGTTCCGAACACTGCTGGATGCCATGCGAAAGCTGTGCAGCAGTCTGAAGTCCCCACTCGGTCAGAGTGGACTACAAGTACTGGATGCTTTAAGTCCAGTATTTGCAAGTCTCCAGTAGCAACCATGGCTCGACCAATTTTCTCCTTCCGCAACGAGATCCACCAAGCGTCGATAATGCAGTGGAACGCGAGAGGTCTGAGATCCCGCATCTCTTTATTCCGTCAGTATATATTCATGAATCGCATTTCTATAATAGTTATATGTAAACCAAACGTGCAACAACCTCCTAAACTATCAGGGTATGAATCTTTCGTTTCTTCAACGTGAGAGGAACGCAGCAAGGTGGCTGTTTACATTCGCACAGATTTCACATATGTGCATCACGCAGTTCAATCACAGGATGACAGTCAATATGTCTGCTTACGTGTTAAAGAAGAAAAAGTGTCATTCACACTCATTGGTGTCTACATATCACCATCCAGGCGGTTTGAACAAGACCGACTACGAGACATACTGACAACAACTATGGGCCCGTGGGTTATAACTGGAGACTTCAACGCACATCACTTAATCTGGGGTAGTTCGACGATCAAGGCTAAAGGAAGAAACCTCATGTCATTCGCCTCCAAGCACGACCTATGTTTCTTCAATGATGGCAGTCGTACATACCTGCGGGGCCTTACGTACAACAGTTGCCTCGATTTGACTCTAGTATCCAGAAACTTCTGGTCGCAAGTGCATTGGTTTTCAGACATCGAAACGCATGAGAGTGACGACATTCCAACTTATATGCGAATAAGGGGTCTTACTAACTCCTCTCCTAGGACCACAATACGAAGAATTGATAGGTCCAAATTTCTGCGACTCATTGAAAATACATGCCGTGAAGACCCTGACCAGAACTAGGAGGATGTCATATAAGAGGCAATGAGGGAAGCTTCCTGTCTCCTCCCGTTCACCGGCAAGCGTTCACATTTTGACGTTGAACTGGAAAAACTGTGTGCGCTTCGCCGAAGGGCGGAAAGGAGATACAGACGGACGAGAGCAATATGCGACTTGAGGCTGGCATGACGCATACAGAAAAAGCTCCAACGACGTTTAGACAAACTTAAACAGGAACGCTAGAAATCATTCTGCGAATCATTTGATCCCCGAAAGCCGTTGTCACGCATCTGGAGCACTATTCGAGGCCTGCGCTCGACTCCCCAACACAGACATCCTTTCATGGCTTTAGCCCTACATTTAGGCCGCACCCAACTTCAAGTGACAAATGAGCTTTGTACGCGAATCGCTGGTGTGTCCGCCTTGTCCGCTGGCACCGTTAAGAGTGTTATCCCTGAACCCCGAATCTCTGAAATGGACAATCTTTTCACTATAGAAGAACTTGACGCATCTTTGGCGGCTTCCCGACGATCATCTTCACCAGGACCCGATGGCATCACCTACGCCGCTCTAGCCAACCTTCGACAGTAGGCCAGGGGACAGTTGTTATGCTATTACAACCACTCAGGGCAGGCGGGCATTGTTCCCCAGGATTGGAAGATAAGTCAACTTGTGCCACTACTCAAACCAGGAAAGTCACCATTTGATTTAATATCATTTCGCCCTGTTGCCCTCGCAAGTTGCGTAGGAAAAGTCATGGAAAGGATAATGCTTAGAATGGTACCTCGAGCTCTACAACGTATACCCAAACTGCATGACGGGTTTTCGGCGAGGTAGGTCATCTCTTGACAACGTGATTGATCTCACAACATTTATCCAGCAACAGAAGAGCCTCAAGCGTATACCACTGGCACTCTTACTCGACGTCAAAGGGGCTTATGATAACGTTACACATAAAGCCATTCTAGACTCGTTGAAAGCTGTCGGAATCGGTTATCGGATGTTCCAACGGATCCACGATTATTTGATGAGAAGGTGCTTTTTTCTACAAACTGCAGATGGACCTACCACCAATTACTATAGCTCCCGGGGCGTCCCTCAGGGCGCCGTATTAAGTCCCACTTTATTTAACCTCGTGATGGTTGGCCTTCATGAAATTTTGTCCTCATATCCATATATGCTGACGATATTTGTCTATGGACTTCGGCTGTAACTCGTCTACAAGAACGTGCAAGAGTCCAGCAGGCTGCCACCCTGACATGCTCATATCTCCGCAAGCAAGGTCTTTCCGTCTCAGCAGAGCCATGACACGATACCCCGTTACCATCAATGGACAAAGTATTCCATACCAGAAGAACCATCGCTTTCTGGGTGCGATTATTGACAAGGGCCTTTCGTGGAGTTCCCCCTGCAATTACCTGAAGAGAAGGCTAGCTTACCTCGTCCATATATTGTGGTTCCTCTGCGGAAAATATTGGGGCACACCGATAAGGTCAATGATGCAGCTATACAGGGCACTGTTTCTGGAATTTTTGCGCTACAGCATGCCGTTACTGGCAAGTACGTGCAATACGAACATCCGCAACCTCGAACGTCTGCAAGAACAAGCACTACGCGTGTGCTTAGGATTGCCGCGATGCTCCTCAACCTACGGGGCAATTATGATCGCAAGAAAGCATCCAATTCAAACATACATCACTACTGACGATTTGAGAGCCCACGTAAGACACATCTGCCGAGTTCCTGGTCACCATGTTACAGTGTTGCCACTTCAAAGACCACAAGCGATGTTTTCAAAGATTATTTCTGCTCATAGAGAATGCCTTCCTTTTGGCTTCACTCCAGCAACAAGACCAGCGTCACCTCCGTGGTGCCTACAACAACCACAGGTGTGCCTCACTATTCCGGGAATAACGAACAAGAGCAGTCATTCGACAGTGGTCCTACGACAGGTGACATTCTCGCTACTCAACAGAAAATACGGCCAGAGGACCCACATTTACACCGATGGATCGGTCTCGGCTGACAGCTCCACAGGTGCTGTTGTCATTCCGACGTACCAGGTCACTATAAAGTTCAAACTGTCGCATAGGGCAACATCCACAACAGTGGAGCTTGCCACCTTACGTGCTGCTATACTTTATATCGCGGAAGCCCGACCTCAAAAATGGGCTGTGTTCTGCGACTCCAAGGCATCCCTTCAGATCTTGCAATCAGTTTTACAACAAAGGGTGCATCAACAACTAGTGAATGAAATAAGAGAAGTGCTTCACAAAGTTTTATCGAAAGGACAGGACGTGGTGTTCCAGTGGTTACCGGGACATAGTGGTATTGTCGGTAACAATCTTGCTGATAATGCTGCCCGATCCGCCCACGCGGACGCCCAGACAACCCCAATTCCATTGTCGAGAACCGACGCTGCAAGGTGCCCTCACACGTTCGCTTAAAACAATGTCGGAAACTAGGCTGAGTGACCCCAGTGTCGGGAACCACCGCCTACACAAATTGGACCCATCGAGAAAGCTTCAAGTTCTATCGGACCTCTCCCGCCAGGATGCCACTTTATTGTGCCACCTGTTGTTAGGAGTAGCTTTTACGAAAGCAAACTCCTTTCGCGTAGGAATGGCGGATAGCTCCCGATGTGAATCGTGCGACACGGACGAGACAATAGAACATCTACTCTGTTCTTGTGAACGTTTTGCGAGTTAACGCAACTTGCTACGCGAAACGTTACAGACACTAAACAGTAGACCTTTTTCCGAAGAGAAGATCCTTGGTTCATGGCTCTACGCGTCGCAGGCCAGCAAAGCGACGCGGGCATTGCTAAGTTTTCTAAAGAAAACCGCACTACGCGACCGCTTATAAGCGTGCAATGAACAAGGTCACATCCACACACACGTTGCCCTTCACTTCTCTCTCTCCTCTCCTTTAATCCCCTCACCCCTTCCCCCAGTGCAGGGTAGCAAACCGGACATGCGTCTGGTTGACCTCACTGCCTTTCATATCTTCCCTTCCTCCTCCTTCCTCCTTGGCGGGAAATGTTCGGCGACGTAAGTGATGGGGTTGTGGCTTCATTGAAGTTTTGACACGCACGTCATATTCGTCACACCATCCTACCCTCCCATACTAACTTTTGTTCACCCCAAGTTAAGGGGATGATCACGAGAGCATGCAGACGTAAGTGGATAGATAGATAGATAGATAGATAGATAGATAGATAGATAGATAGATAGATAGATAGATAGATAGATAGATAGATAGATAGATAGATAGATAGATAGATAGATAGATAGATAGATAGATAGATAGATAGATAGATAGATAGATAGATAGATAGATAGATAGATAGATAGATAGATAGATAGATAGATAGATAGATAGATAGATAGATAGATAGATAGATACGACAAACGTCTTTTCAGTACGCAAAAATGCCTTTGTGCACCATAAGCACAATATAGGCGTCGGGTGCACTTTCCTTGTTTACACTAGCCTACTTTACTAATATTTCTATTTATGTAGTGGTCTGAAATGAAAGTTGCGTCTCTGAGCATTATTGCTTGCATTTAAGTTTTACATGTTAACAATGTAGTAAATGCGCTGTGAGATGGCCGGGCGGAAAAGCAAGAACTTCCTGTTTGTAATGAGACACTACGGCTTGTAAGAGAGTCTGTAAACGTAGTCATATTGCTAACAGGAGAACCGGCTTCACCATATAAAAGAAGTTCGCCGAAGAATAAAAATGATATAGCATGCAAATGGTCTGCATTATATTTATCACTTACCCAAAGAGCAACTTACCGCCACACAGAAGAAGAAAGTGTACAGCTATCGCATATTGTCATCAATAACTTTATCATCAGCGGAACTATTCACGCTTGATCTCATCGACCCATTTAGATTCGCCTCTCCATCACGCGTTTCCCTTCTCTTGGAACCCGGTCAGTTACCTTAGAAGTCCCGTCTGCTCCCTTAAAGACTAGCAGCGCTCTGCCCAGGCTCATTACCTCCTCTTGATTTAAACTATCATGCCTTTAACACCTGTTTCTTCCCTGGCCAACTGTGTTCTCCTCCCGTCTCTTAGGTTACACCTATCATTTTCATTTCCTTGGCTCGTGCGTCGTCTTTATTTAAATTCCACTGCCTTTAAAAGTAGCCAACTTTCTGCTTCGTAGGCAAGTACCAGTAGGACGCAGCTTTATAAACTTTGCCCTTGAAATAGAGTGCTAAACTACTAGTGATGATTTAAAACTGTTGGTCGTGTTTGCTCCACCCCATGCTCATTATTCTCGTAAAGTCAGTATCGCGGTAAGCGTTCGTGATTACTGCCTGTCGTAACGTTTGGGGACAATAACTTACGGGTTAGGAACCTATAAAATAGAGAACAGAGTGGTAGCAACGTGAAAACTACCGTTCATTGATGAACACGAACTGCAGCCGCACTGGCCCAATACACACAAAGTTCTTTTTTTCTAGATATGACCTCGTTTCTTTGCCGGCGTATAATCGCAATCGGGCTCACCTACCCCTGTCTGCCGCATGCTCTGCGTGTACAAATTTTTTATAGGCCAAGCTCCTTAAGGTCGGGTCTTGTCCATTGTTCGACGTTGGTGTGCGTCGTAGCTGCTGTTGGCGATAACAATTAGGCTTATCGCGATCAAGAACACGCGCAATCCAGACCACACATTGTCTTTCTGCCATCACGGTACATCACATGCAAGGTACCTATTATATATCTTGACGATGATGCTCATGACAATGATGAACAAGCGCGTTCCTGACTACGTATTCTATTTGTGCCGCTGCGGCACAGCACGGGTCAGGTGCGCAGTATACGCTATGACAATAGCAATGACACTGATAACAATGAATATGATGATGACCACGCACAATGACTCGCATGTGCACTACATGACGCCTCGATATGCTTCGCGATGAATTTTGTATTACTGTAAACAGCCAACCGTCACCAGAGGAAAGTGCCAAGACTTTGTCATTGCCAATTTCTGGCTAGATCCATTAACACAAAGCAGTAATAATGAAGGCCAAAGTAAATTCACATCTCAGCACAACTTACCTCTTACGATCAATAAACTTTTATATAGCTGTACACCGCTTGGCACTCATTTACATAGAGTGGTCAATGTCACTGGTTATTTACGGTAACACCGGAATCCCACGGCTTTTCCCGCTCATCATTCACTTCGTCTACATTCCCTAACATTTTGCGCGGCAGAAAAAAAATTGTCACGGAAAGTCTTTCCGTACATTCCGTCGTTAGCATTCCGCAATTGAGCATTCTGACCGGTAAGGTTTCGGTGACAGGAAAACAGCTACCATAAAAATTGGTCGCTTTTCACTCTAAGCATACAAAATTCATGCTTGTAGGAAAGCTCCTTTCTAATAAAAACGAAAAGTTGCATCCTTAGCTCATTACCTTAAATGCAACATCAACCGCTATTCGATTTTCTTCTGTAACAGCATCCAAGATGTACTTTTAGCATAACACAGCGCAGTCAGGATAGTATAGCCCAATTGTGATTACCCTAACCAAGGATATTCCAATTAATTCAAAACTGAGGACTCCAAAATTTAAAGGTACCTGAAACCACGTGGCAAGACGGCTAGATGCGAGTGGCGTAGTACAGAGTCTCCAGGAACGGGAGAGTCCGCGGTGACCACAATGGCCGAGAACCCATTGGCAGCAGCCCTCTCGATTAGGGACTGGGTAATGGATCGGTCACGGAAGATGTACGTCTGCTGCCAGAGAAGACAGCCGGGTGCCGCACTCTTGACAGCTTCGAGCGACAACGTGCTCAAACTGCTCAAGATCATCACCACGCCGGCGTCCTGAGCCGCTGCATCGATTTTAAGAAAGTGGACCTTTAAACATTGCACCTTTTCCATTTTCCATGGCAGTGTGATTTGTCTGGTTTCTGTGAGAAGTCAGTGAAGTGATTGTCAAAAGAGAATACTGAGAGATAACGCTTGAGAAAGTCACAACACTGACACTGTCTTTCGGAATCGGAAAGCCAGCTAGCGCTCATCCGCTTGAATGGTTAATATATATAATGTCATCCGCGAACTTTTTACAGAATTCGAAAAAGATTCCTTGGTTGTGTTGCGAATTTCTCACCAAATTTAGCTACCTTATTTACATACGTGCTGCGCTGATAAGCGCCAGAAATTAGGGCTCAATGTCGGATAATTTAAAGCCCTGCTAGGTATCATGTTGACTCATGCTGACTAAAGGTAACTAAAGGATTGCTAATACAGACTGCCGCTGGCCAAGTGTTTGAAGGTGTAGGCTTTTCTTCACACATTATAACTAGTGAGGGTAACTGGTCTCCCACTACTAGTACAATTTCGTAGTCTTTGGCTACTCTCGCCTATTCATTGCCCTAATAGCTGATAATGAGAAAGTCAGGACATTCTGTGGGAAAAATGATAATTCAATTTTCCACAAATGTATTGTGGGGAAATCTTCTCCAGGCACTGCTTGGTTCGCTTAGTAACGCATGTTTAGAACAATGCATAGCTGAGCTAGGTGACAGCTATTCAATTTAAGAGGTGGCACGGAGTACAATCATAGACACAAAGGCACAAATAAAAACAAAGAGAGAAGTGTCGTGTTGACATCTTCCTTTCTGTCAATGTTTAAATACCTCGTCTTTTAACGTGAATTCATGTTCCCTGCGTCATGCAGGCATTGTTACTGGGCGTCATTACGACATAAAGCAGCCCATATGCCCTGCCCTACGAGCGAGTGCTTTTTGTGCGTCCTTCGAGGAATTCGAGGCCTCCAACCACCTCATCGAGGTTGCGTGAAAATCTTGCACTTGAGGAAAAAATAAGAAAACAAGTTCAATGAATCACTTCAAGTTCCAGTCAATACACCACTCAGCGAAAACATATTGACACAAGCGTCGATAACGGTTTTAATTGACTGCGCCATCAGTTTCGTCCTTCTATACGTTACATTGAAGTGCGCACGCTATTAGCAGAGCCATCAGTGACGTCATTCATCCCTTTGCAGCTCTGCCGCCGAGCCCAGGCACAGCAGTTTATACTTACAACTTTCACATAAGGAGGGCACGGTGCGTACGAATGCCGCAATAGCACACATTTCAAGAACAGCATGACAGCGATCCGTGACAGAATTCATGTTCGCCGGGCCAGTGCAGATACCCAGGCACAAAAACAGGCTTGGCTGGCAAAGCGAAAACAGCAACAGCGCACCGACGATCCAGCAACATTGGAAGCCATACGTAATCGACAATGATGAGCCGGGAAGCGGCGCTGTGAGCGGAGCAGCGTCGATGTGGCCCACAATGGCGGGCCAACGTCCGCTTTCGGCTTAAGATTCTCGAGCGGCACTTCGGTTTCGGCTGTGACATCTGCAACTGCCTGTGGCCGCGCACTTTTCAGCTTCGCTGGTTAGCCATCTGCCTGGAGTGCTTGAGTGTTCAGAACTTCAGAGGGCACGTAGAAGTAATGGCTCTCTTCACAAGCTTCGGTTGGCATGATTCAAAGAACAATAACAATTTCTCAGTACTTTGCGCATGACGCCCCCAGGCATGACCGACTGCCTTAATCTCTATTATTAGTTCAAGCAACTGAATCGAGCGATCTCGGCTCGAGTAGCAGGTGAATGTTAAGCCCCAAGTGGATCAGGCAAACGTTGTTAAAATACCTGCAGTAAGACATTCTATGTTTCTACTTTTACTAATCTGTTACAGTAGTGAAGAGTCATGTGCATATCGGGCGAGTGGGGAAGAGAAATGGAAAGAGGACAATTTTATTTATTTTCGTTTCACCTTTTGCCCTGCGTTGTTCGCAGAGAATACTAAGATGATGGCTGTCCTAATAATGACGCAATGCCATAATGTGGCAACCACTATTATGGTACTAGTAATGTGTACCTTGGTAGTGTCTTGGTATTGTCACTTCCCTTTCGGTAGTAAAGCAAGGCTGCTAACATAGCTGTTACTAGCTCTTACTGCTACACGGGCAGTGAAAGTTGGTAAACTGCTGTCAATGTTATTAAATACTAATAGTTTTTGGAGTGCTCTGTCGGCCTAGTATCTAGCATAGAACAAGAATGGCGATTTGGGCTAGTTGGTTTGAATTCATGATAATAAGGGTTGCAGCGCGAGCACGAATGAGCAAGAAGAAACAGACGAAAGTCGAGGTACGGAAGGCAAAGAGGACAACACGAGCGCTGTTTGTCCTCTTTGCCTTCCGTACCTCGACTTTCGTCTGTTTCTTCTAGCACATTCGTGCTCGCGCTGCAACCCTTATTATCTAGCATACTTCGTTCTACGTTTACATTCGGGGGTGAAAAAAATCATACATTATATTCTTGAAAACATTTCGGCTCGCCCGTTTGTCTTCTCGTCTTTCGTTTTTTCGCCTATTGTGAGCATGCCGGAAGGTTTTCAAGAATGTCCTGAAACAAACTCGCCCAACTCTACATCGTCTATTCGTGGTAGCGGGTAGACATCTTTTTTCGTAATATTGTTTAAGCGGCGATAGTCCACGCAAAATCGTACGGTGCCATCTTTTTTCTTGACCAGAACCACAGGTGATGACCAAGCGCTTTGAGAAGGCTGTATGACTCCACGTTTAAGCATGTCATCTACTTGCTCCGTAATGACGCGGCGCTCTTCGGCGGAAACGCGGTAAGGACGCTGTCGCAGAGGCGAATGTGAGCCGGTGTCAATAGTATGAGCGATAGTGGTGGTGCGGCCCAAAGCAGGTTCTTGAAAGTCGAAAAAAGAACGAAACTTGTTAAGGAGAGCAACAAGTTGGCGGCGATGCGAGAGGAAAAGGTCTGCGTCAATAGCATTGTCGAAGGCTGACGAACTTGATGGCTCAGACGCATGAGTGATTGCAGCAATGTGACATGGCGTTTCGTCGGGAAGAATATCATCGATATGGTCGACAGGTTGCACATATCCTAACGTTTCACCACGAAGTAAGCCAATGGGGTAGTTGCAGTGGTTGGTGACCAGCATTACGGTTAAACCAGACGCAATTGTAAGAACAGCAAATGGGAGAACGATGCCCTTGAGTTCAGTAAAAACCGGAGATGGCGTAAACACCACCGCGCCGTCAGGTTGCGCCAGACATGAAAGGCTAATAGGGACCGAAGCTTCAGGAGGCAAGGTGATGTCGTCATCAGCGATGACTTTGCAGAGCAGAGGAGAGCGGTCGGGTGGTGGAAATTCACATGTTGGCACAAGGGACACTTCGGCACGGGAACAATCGATGATAGCTTCATGACGTGATAAGAAATCCCAACCCAGGATAAGGTCATGAGAGCAAGATGATAGAACAAAAAACTGTACGACGTACAAAACGTCTCGAATGACGACGCGCGCCGTACACACAGCCGAGGGATGAATGCGTTGCGCGCTAGCCGTGGACAGCACCAAGCCACTGAGAGATGTGGTCACTTTCTTCGGTTTCCTACAAAAGTTTGCGTTCATCACAGAAACGGCGGCCCCGGTATCAATTAACGCTAATGTGGCGACTCCCTCAACATCGACATCAACAACATTTTCCGGCGAAAATGGAGGCCTTGGGAATTGCGCACAAGTTGCAGTTCTTGCCTCCTGAACTGCACTGATTAGTTTCCCTCCTCAAGAGGTGGTCGACGACGCATAGGCGATGGCGATCGGCGACGAGGTGATGGGAAACGAGCAGTCGATGGGTGGCGATCCGAGTCGCAGTGCCTCTGTTCATATGCAGACGTGGTGGTCTGCTGCGGTGCATAGGTAGGAGCTCCGAAGTATGCGTGCGCAGGCGTGGGACGGCGGCGGCAGAAGCGTGCAATGTGGCCAGCGATGCCACACGCGAAGCAGATGGAACGATTGTCTCGGGTGCGCCACTAATTAGATGGACGGAAAAAGCGAGGTGGGGGCCTATAGACTGGAGGCGAGGCCGGAGGCGGTGGAGCCGATAAGGCGACTGGATGCGGTGGGGGCCGCGCGACCACAGCTGCGTAGCTGAGAGGTGAAGGCGGCGCAGTTGGTGCGTAGCCAGCAGTTGAGAGATCAGATGGCACCGAAGTGCACGGGTAAGAGGTTGGAACTGTAGGGAGTGCATTGCAAATTTCAGTGCGTATGGCCTGCTGCATATTCGAAGGGAGGCTTGTCGTGGGCGCGTCACTATGCGGCAGCAGGGAAAGCTGTCGGGCGACTTCCTCCCTGATGATGTCTTTAATCTGGTTCGACAGAGTTCCTTGGTGAACGTTGCCATTGGCGAGTGCGACGGCCGAGATCGAATCTGGTGATGGGACACTCTGTCGGGCGATGGAACGCTGACGACGCAATTCATCGAAGCTGTGGCACAGGCTTACGAGGACTGCCACCGTGGTCGGGCTCTTCGCCAGCAACATCTGGAACGCGCCATCCTCGATGCCTTTGAGAATATGTCGAATTTTCTCTTCTTCAGGCATGGATGAGTTAACACGCCTGCAGAGGTCGAGCACATCCTCAATATAGCTAGTAAAGGTCTCACCAGGTTGCTGGGCTCGGTGGCGCAGACGCTGGTCCGCGCGGAGCTTGCGGACCTCTGGTCGGCCGAACGCTTCGGTCACGAGGGTCTTGAAGGTGGACCAGCTGGCGATGGCGGTTTCGCGGTTGGTGAACCATAGCTTGGCGACGTCAGCCAAGTAAAAGATGACATAGGCAAGCTTAGAGTCGTTGTCCCATTCGTTGCTGGCACTCACGCGTTCGTACAAGGAGAGCCAGTCTTCGACGTCTTGCTCACCACTGCCGCTGAAGATTGGTGGGTCCCGCTGACGGGTAGCACCGGGGCAGGTCGACGGGGCAGCCGATGGTGCTGGCTGTGCTGGGATGGGCTGGTTGGCGACTGCGTCAGTCATGTTGTACGGTAGTCTTTCGGCCAACTTGCGAGAGCGGAGCTCCAGGTCTGCTTAGGGATCTCAGCACCTCCACCAAATGCGATGATGTTTATTAGAACAGAGGAGCCGCAATGAGGTCGCGACGGAAAATGGGCGAACAGCAAGTCTGGCAAAGGCGGCACAGGTTCTCGCGCAATCAGAGCACGGGCTTTTCGTTGTCTTCCGAAGGTGCATACGCGTTGGTGCGTATGCCCCACTACAATACGATTATATTAAACTGTAGAATAATAATATTGATATCTTGAACTTCTAGCTAATTTTAAATAATAATTGGTTAAAAGAATTCATGTGTCTGAATTTCCGTAAACATCTACAGCAAGAATTGAGCAAAGAATATTCACAATTCATCCGACTGCTTGTCTACTTGGCATCACTGCACTATGACAACCAAAACAGAAAAGAGCTAAACGAAAATCTACAACGAGAATGCAATGACTCGCGAAATCTAACTGACAGAATGGTTGGCCTTGCCTTTTGCAGAGCCGATCTCCCCTTCCGGGTTCATGATTTTCTGAGCCGCTGAAGGAGCAAGGCCTACTGGCAAAGATACTGCCTGTCCTAACAAGGTGGCCGATGTGTTGACTTTCTCCACGTCCACGAAGATTTGGGGTCTGAAACGTATCCTGCGTACAAGCACACGCGCAGATGACGAGAAAGCCGGAGAGCACAGTGTGAGCAGATTAAGGCGATCCGCACTCTGGTACACCAACGAGAAAGCAAGGCGAGTTGTAAATTTGATAATGCTAGAGAACTCTTGACTTAGTTCCTCACACTGACAGAAAAGCTTTCGGAGGTACATCTGCTACGGTAAGCACAATTACGACTCCTTCTATTCACTATACGTGCAACTATGTCGGTTACTTTACAACTTGATGTGTGTACGCTATGCATGGTTGTATTCGAGTATTTTAGTTTAGTACGTGCAAGCCTGTACGTCTGCAACGAACTGCGTGCGGCGCACGTACCGTCCGAGGCTGGCTATTTTCTGATACAACCTATGCATTCTGGTAAGGCTACACCCAGATGATCGAAATGCGACTGGCAGAAGAGAAGAGAGAGGAGCTGGGGACGCACATGCGCAACGGAAGTGTAAATGCCACAGGGAAGGGTGCCTATAGCAAAGAGAGGGGGAGTGAGCGTTGGCTAGCAGACGTGCGAGGCGATAAAGAGGTAGCTAGGAGAAGAGAGAGGAGGAGAGACACGCATTTTCTCTAGAGGTGGTCATGCCGCATGCCAAAATGAGCTCGACATTACCACGCTTCGCATTAAAAGCAGGACAAGGCCGTTCAAGCCAGAGTTGTAGTTAAATGTCAATAATACATACACCGTAACTAAGGTAATATATTGACTGAAATGAAGTCCCAATACGATGTTTCGAGATGTAATGAACGTGAAGATTCATGGTTATCGAAGTATGAATTACCATATTCCCGCCACTCTTGAAGTGGTGATACGTTCCAATAATTTGGAGTCCAATGAAAGGAACAGTGTTCGAAAAACTAAGCGCATGCTAAGTGATACGAAGAATATTAGCATCTATGTCGCGTTTGACTATCTGCACCTTAAGTTTCTGACTAATGTTAACTTCACAGAAAAAGGAAGTTCAAACCTCTGAAAGGCCCGGGTGTTCTCCCTAAGAGTTTGTTCACGACCAGCACCAAGAGCAATGTATCGACTTGCACCCTTGTCCAACTTGTCCTCAGCAAGCTTCTGGATGTCTTCAACCGTGTACACTGCCATCGCAGCCGCTTTGACAGCGTCTTCACAACCAGCCCCACTGCAACGGAAATCGCAAAATATGGTTGCCAATACCACCAAGCATGAGAATGTCCTGTGCGGCTTCATTGTGCGTGGCACCTGCCAGTCAGTCAATGAACTTTAATCATAAAGTGTCTTTACAAGCCAATGTCCCTCAAAAAGGTGGGTTGCTTGTTGAGTGCTTCTTGAGGGCCTCTTTCGGGACCGGTAAGTATTGGTGTCGCAACATTGCTAAAGTGATTGACTGGGCCCTGGAGATTTGCCGGTGTGAGAGCGGGAACCTACGCCTAGCCAATCGATAGTATTTACATTATTCCTTAGAGGTGAGGAGAAAATTGAGCTGCAGGAGGCCTTCGCCTAAATTACAGGTTGTATGCCCGTCACGGTGGGACAGTTTGCGTGCGCGCGCACGGGCAAACTCATGGGAGTTGGGAACGATAGGTTGGATATCCTTGCCCATGTGGTCAGGAAATCAAGATATGTGGCCATCTATTGCAGTGCAGTTTGGATTTTTGGTTCGAATATGGGCTTCCTGCTCACGCACTGACCACGCAATGAATGCAAATACAGCAGTGCGAGAGTCAATGAAATTGTGTGTGGGAATCAGCACGGCTAGCTCAGTCCTGGCCGGCATGTTATCTTGACGAGATGCTGCTTTGTGGAGCTTACTTTGAAGGTAAGTGACCGCAACCACAAAATTGACTATGCCAGGTACTCTGTTGTGTCAACAAACGCGCTGCAACATTGTAAATTATATGGCACATAAGAAAGACATAGAAAAGCCTTATGATACTAGCCTCATAAAGACTTCGATGACAGATAAATACCCCACGTCTAAGCTATACCATGCTTTCTTCCTTGGCCGTAATACGGGTGAAAGTATGAGAGTTACTACCGTGGTCTTCCTGGAACGTGCCTAGTATTAAGATTTTGCTGACTCGGGGGTTAGCTTGCCCTAACCATCTGTGAATTTCTATCCTTATATCTTCCGGTGGAAGTGGCATGGTGTTGAATTTGCGTTTGTCTGGGTGTGTGTGCAGAGGAAGCTCTGATTCGGTGGTGAATGGGTGCAGCGCCGCACTATTCAAAAACACTTCCGTGCAACTGATGGCCTGCTGATGTTCCAGGGCTTTTCTTTTAGTGTCAGCTACCGGGGCCGAATTTCGATGTAAGCCAGATGCAACGAGTAGCCAAGTGCTTGGAATTAGGTTCCCACTAGAGAACCCACGTGGTCCAGCACATTAGCGTTAATCGTAGATATATCAAAGTTTTTGCTTGGGAGACGATAGCAGTAGCAATTTGTAATTGCTAAAATACGTAAGCACTTCGAAAATCCTGATTGAACACCAAAGGTTCCAATGAATGTGAGATATTAGTCCACCCTGAGGAGGGGTGTGGGGATGGCGGAAGGAGTGATAGTTCTGTATGTTTAATTTACAACAATAACATGACTCTCCAGTCAGTGCCAATAGTAAGTAATATAAATTGTCCTATTACGTAGTCATCAATCATTAAATAGTCATCTCAATTTTTACCGAGATGTATCGCCGAGGAATAGAACGGGGAACAAGGTTGGGATGAACGAAAGAAGCGAAATTTTTCCGATGGGCTGAATTTTTTTAGCACGACCGAATAACCGAACAGAATTACACAACAAAAGTGTATGGAATAATAATTGTTTTTACCTGTATTGTAGTAATTGTGTTGTGAATTAAAATGAAATATTGAGGAGAAATAAACACCCTTTTTCCCCAGTGGAATCCGACCTTCGACTTGTATCCCTTACGATCGATGGCGTTTTGTCATTTACTACGCTAGGTAATTCGTGTAGTTGGTTAACGTGTTCGAGAGCTTTGCTCGAAGCAGGGTGACCAGTGTGCAACACTGTTATAACCAGAAAAAGTTAGACAGCACATGATCTGCGTATTAGGTGAGGGCTGACCAACGAAACCCCACTTGTTATCGAATGGCTTTAAATCTGCCTAGATGAGGCCCCCATATTCATTTCAATTTACGTAATATTACTGCTCTGCCGATAAGAACAACGATTCTTGCCCCCTTGTTTTTCTCGACCCATATCTCTGTTGAGTTTATTTAAATTAGTCTCATTTCAGTTTTACGTTCGCCATGCTTATAACTAGAATGAAGCCAACAGAGTTCACGAATAAATTAAAGGAGAATGGCAAGCTGGAAAAAAAATAAATATTTACGAGTGGTTTCAGCGCTGATGAAACGTCACCTTTATGCAAAGCGGTCCAGCTGCCACGCCGTTTCCCGCGTTTCCCGTCAGCAGGGTCCCCTTGCGGCATTCATTGCGCACCAGTCTCTTTGTTTTAGAATAAGCGTAAACTTTCGCTTTCTCATTACTGATTCAACAGGTTGAAATGTGAGCGAGTACGAAAGGTATCAAGAGCCCCGAGAGTACAGAAAGTCGGGCGGCTACGATGGTTTTACAGCGCAGCTGTTGTCTGGGCTCCGTCGTAAACAGGAAACAAGGCCAGCTGTACATGAAACGAGCTGCGATTCTGTTGCCTAGTCCTTGTCAGTAAATGTTGGTCGCTATAAACAGCAAAAGGGCGAAGCCTGACCCAACATTACAGGGAAGCCGTGTCATGTAGTGGCAGCAGCGGTAGCAGTAGACGTACTAGTATAGTAGTAGTAGTAGTAGTAGTAGTAGTAGTAGTAGTAGTAGTAGTAGTAGTAGTAGTAGTGGCAGTAGTAGTGCTGGCGGTGGTGGTGGTGGTGGTAGCAAAAGCAACATTAGTGGCAAGAGTAGCAGGAGCAGCAGAAGCAGTAGTGGTAGTTCTAACTATTATTTTTTTATTTCCAAATACTTTCGGCCATCACTGCCGTAACATATTTGGTATAGTAAATGTCATTAGAAAACAAGAACAAGTACAACATATTATAAAGAAGACAGAACCGGAAAATTACATATCTATTTTAGGGCAAACAAAAAATATTCAGAAACGCTGCAGAAAAACGTACATACGTGACATTGTGGTGGTTGCAATATGAAGTAAGTACACGTTGTATTTCCGAACAACATGTGAATGTCCAACACTAAAAATAGTCAATGTTGAGATATATTTTTTAATGCACCCATCAAATCTTCCACTGCTTTTCGAATACAGTACAGTTACTGGCAACTGATTGCACTCTTTTATTGTGCGTTGAAAAAAAGGGGTACGTGTACACATCAAGATAGGATTTTGGAACCGAAAGCACGAAATTGATCCGACATTGCTGGTCAGCATGGCAGCAAGATATGATTTAGTTTAAACATTGATGTGTCCTTTAGATAACAAAAAAAATTAGGGTTGACAGATTTCCGGCGTCAAGCCAGCGTAAGAAACCGAAGCATTGCATAAACGAAGTTTTTTTCGAGAATAACACTGTAAAATTAGCCTTGTGGCTTTTCTCTGCATTTTTTTTCTATTTTAATTTATTAACCCCGACTGGAACGAATCACTTGCAGCCCTGGCATATTCTAACAATGGCTTTACGTATGCTAAATATACAAGCAGGTTAATGGAGGGTGCTGCTAGCTTTAGTTTGAAGCGAAGGAACCATTACTTTAATCTACAGCTACACAAATGCGTTCGGCGTGTTCTTCCCATCCTCGGTCTTTTGATATTGTTAAGGCTAGGTATTTGTCACGTCAACTTCGTTTAGAGTTGTGCAATTCATCTGAAAATTATTCTTGATTGCGCGCTTTTTTCAGCTCTCAGCTTAACTGGTTTAGATTCATTAATTTTTATTTGCCATTTAGTGGCCCCTCATCCTAAAGCTTTAAGAGCTCTCTTACGTGACGCATCATTATGCTGGTGAATAATTTCACTATATATTAAGCAGTCATCTGTGAACAACCTGGTGGTTATGTCGTCACTCATGTCTTGGGCATTATCGTTTACGTAAATTCAACAAAGGAGTGGTCCTAAGACGAATCTCTACGGTATGCCTGAGGTTATGTTTAGCATATTCACTTTGCTAGCGTTTATTTTGATGTATTGTGCTCAACCTGTGAGGTATGAGCAGATCCACGCTACAACCTCGTAGTTTATATTGATTTCCACGAGCTTATAATTCAATTTGTTGTGTGCAATTCGATCGAAAGAATTCGATAAAGTAAAACATATAGCGTTAATCTGTTTTCTGTTATTCAGTTCAGTTCAAAAGCCATTATTTTTTTTACCAATGTGTAACAGTGGATAGGTTCCGTCGGAAGCTGTGCTGATTAGAAAAAACAAAGCTTCTTGTTTTTAAGGGAACCATAGATTGATTTTAATAAATTGTGCTCAACAAGCTTGCAGCTCACACACGTCAATAAAATGGGCCGATATTTTTCGACGTTTTGCTTTTCACCTGATGTGTGTACCGCAAAAATTGTGTGACTAATGATGATTGATTTCTATGTGAGTTTGAACGTCCCAAAACCAAAATATGATTATGAGACATGCCGTTGTGGAGGGCTCCAGAAATCGCGACCACCTGGGGTTCTTTAACGTGCACACACATCTGAGCACACGGGCCTACAGCATTTTCGCTTCCATCGAAAAAGACTTTTGCGACAAGCCAGTCATATAATCTTTAAATATAATCTCAAGAAAGCGGCCTACCCATACTAAATACCTGCATAAAAACGCAGTTGGTATACCGTCGGGACCTATGGATTTCTTGTCTTCAATGTTAAGCAAAAGTGCTACCAAAAATCTATATGACAACTCTGTATCAGGCATCGGGGTAATGTATAGGGATCGCAGCGGAAAGGTCCTGAAAGTTCTTCGACCCTTTGCGGAACTAGAGGCTCCGAATTATTTCGTTCTCTCAACAGACGAAGTCTGCACAGCGAAGACAACGCAGCTCATCGTAAAAAAAAAAAAAAGCTAGGCAACTTCGATAGTTTTCGCATATTTTCTTATTGCGAGAATAATTTTATGAACAGTGTCTACAGTGTTTCAAAGCCGCTGTCATTTCTATATAAAGTTCAAATCAATAACTTATGTACACACACTGTGTGCTGTTCCCGTGGATAAAATACCGCGAGCGCCGGCGAGGAACACTGTTGAAGCATAGGTGAAACAAGCATCCCATCTCCATCTCACGGAGGCCGCATGTCATAACATCACATTGCGTGCGATGCCTGCCGTCGATTGCTCCTAAACCGGAAAGGCAGCCCTGTCGGTCTCTTGCTGGACGAAGGATTATGAAGAGATACTCAGGTAGTAGAATGTGCGGCTCGATCCGCAACTCTGGTCTTTGATTATAAGAGTGCGGTCGTGTACTAGCGCGCGCTATTTCAGCAGGCAACGCTGAACGGCTCAAGTATACCCTTCTACTCGCTATGATATCACTGCGCAAACACTGCTCTTTTTCCGGAAATGGCGTTTTTTCCGGAAATGGCTGTTTTTCCGGAAATGTGTGTGTGTGTGTGTGTGTGTGTGTGTGTGTGTGTGTGTGTGTGTGTGTGTGTGTGTGTGTGTGTGTGTGTGTGTGTGTGTGTGTGTGTGTGTGTGTGTGTGTGTGTGTGTGTGTGTGTGTGTGTGTGTGCCTGCGTGCGTGCGTGCGTGCGTGTGTGTGTGTGTGTGTGTGTGCGTGTGTGTGTGTGTGTGTGTGTGTGTGTGTGTGCCTGCGTGCGTGCGTGCGTGCGTGTGTGTGTGTGTGTGCGTGTGTGTGTGTGTGCGTGCTTGCGTGCGTGCGTGCGTGCGTGAGATAAAGAGAGGGAGACACAAAGAGAAAGCGCAAATATCCTTAGGGAACCATTGAAAATAATTATGACATCCCGATGTATTGAAATGCGCAGCGCTTAGGCCGCTTGAGGCTAGAGTGAGCCTTGTCATAAAGGAATGCCCAAAAGTAGCTTAGGCAGTGTGTTATGCAATAATCAACCCTTACTTTTTTCTTGCATAGCCATGGAAGTTCATTCTTCCAGTTCTGTCATCCGCTCTCGAATTACGAACACTAGTCCGTTCTTCGAGTATGGTCATCCGCTCTCAAATAACGAACACTAAACTCGTCTTTTATTGTGTTTTTGTTTGTTTGTTTTTTTTCCGGCGGATAGCGTGCCGCTGTTCCGCTCTTGGCAACGCCGTTAATGTACAGCGACTGTTACACTCCATTGTGTCGCTCTCTGGGAGTACACCGCAGTGACCTCGAGTATCAGTTCTCGCGAACGACGAAGTTCACACAAGTGATTCACGTCGGAGCAACCTAGAATGTAAAGAAAAGTTGCGGCTCCAGAGATTAGTCAGTACACGTATGCAAAGTGTTAGCCGCATTTTTCGGGCATCTCATATACAGGCATAGTTATTGAACTGTACAATCAACATCGTATAAAAACCGAATACCCGCAAGCATCACAAATTGTAAGGGGCGCGCCGTGCGGTCATCACAATTTACAGATGCGCAGTGCAAGGTTTCAGCAGCACGGCGCGAGTCCATGGTGATCAATGGACGAAGTGCACTACACCCCTGCTGGTGCTTCCCAGCGTCTGGGTTTCACTTGACGCCGATATAACATATCACTGCTCGTTTGTTATGTGTTCTTTTTTATTTCACAATAGATCAATACTTCGACTGGGACAAAACAAAAAGATTGCTTTCACTTTCGATTCACATCTGGCGATTGCGTAAATTAAAGTGCGAGTTATTTTTCGCCCGCGCCTAGCAATCTTCTAGCCATTTTGGCCTAATCTTCATTTAGGACAAACTTTTTGTGAAGTTTGCTTTCTTTCTTTCTGATAATTGCTCATCTCCCTTCTTTCCACCTGCATGCAGCGATGATGGGTTGAAGAAAACGGGTAGCCAGGTGCGCTAGTTGGTACCGTATTATGATAACCACTTTATTACGATACCCCTTTTCGTCCTACGTTGTTTATTTGCGCTCAAAATGTTATATCACAAATGCTGACAGAAATAAACCATCTCTCGCCAAAGGGAACCATGTTTGCATGCGAAGCAATGGGCACTAAAGCTTACACTGGCAATGGCGTTGACGCTAGCGCTCATGGCCGCATCGTGCGGGAGAGAAACCTGGAGAGGCGCAAAGCACGCGGTGACGGACCGGTGTTTCCAGCTGAAACATGGCAACCGCTGCTAATGGGAAATGAGAGAGAAGACTCCCATTGGACATAGAGACCCGTAGTCCTCTTTCAGTTCACAGCATATCAACAGAGTCAGCGATGAGTAGGCCGAAGCGTCTACCCGTCCATCTGTCCGTGCATTTGTTCTTCCGTTCGTCCGTCCGTCCGTCCATTCGCCCGCCTGTCCATGCGTTCGTCCGTTCATGCTTCCGCTCATCCGCGCGTCCATTCATGTGTCCAACCAAGCATGATCCGGCAAGCGTATACTGTTCCACGTACGGCGACGATTCAGGAGAAGGAGAGACAACCCCCACTATGCCTGCGCAACAGATTATCGAGCAGCTTAGATCGAGTGGTTTAAGAGCAGCTGCGCCTCCAACGCCATCTAGTGAACATTCACACCACGATTTTGCATGTATCTCTACGGGACTGCTGTGCTGTCTAGTATATTGTCACCCAACTGCAGTTTGCGTGCCTCTTTCTGAGACAGCTCCAACCAATAATGAGAAGAGAGGCGCTACTGGGGTGGCACGCCAAACTGAGCGACGTCCATCGACGACCGACCAGATGATGCTATAAGGAGCTTCGCCCCTAAAAGAACAATATCTAGCATCGAGACCAGTTTGAGTCCATACTGTCAGCGTGGTCACCGAGTAGTTTATCACGCAGTTGGTAAGTATTTCTTCGGAAAAAATTCTTACAAGGTTGCTTTGTTGGGCAAGCGATGACGTAAACAGCGGTAATGTTGCGCCATAAAAGGGTAAACTAAAAACCATGCAGATGTCACGGAGTCCCATCTCTGTAACAAGTCGGTCACTCAAGGTTTTGCACCCATTACAAAACGTTCCACTTTAATCGTTCATCGTCATCAAGCACAACATCAGCGGCGGCACATAAGACCTTGAAGATGTTTTGCTGCTATCTCCCATATCCAGAGAATGAATATTTATTAATGTGAGCCTTCCGATTTCGCACAAATTACGATGGTTTATAGCGTAGTGGTCCCATCGAAACTGTACTTGTAGTAGTTGCCCCAAGAAAGCCTAAAAAAGGTTCTAAAAAGGGCGCGCTTCGAGCTTTTGCTGTCACTATGCTGCTGGTACGACTGCCTGTACATGATATATGATTGCCTGTACATGTCTGTGTACATGTCTGCGCCCGCACGTTCATGCATTTGGATATTTCTATTCACACGTGTGTATGTGTAAGCGAGCATGTGAGCACGTCTATGTGTGCGCATGTGTGTGTCCGCGTGCGTTTCTGCTTGTGTGTATTCGCAAGTGCGATGCCAGTGTGCGCACACATCGGTATGCGTGCTCTTGCGCGTGCGTTTGTGTGCATTCACACATGCGTACGTGCTTGTGCACACATATTTGCGCACTTGTGCCCGTTTAGGTGAGTGGGCGTCTTTATCACATGTACACGCATCGCGTGCGTATGCATTATTGTTTGAAATAAGAGCGCACTACGCACTACAGGGGTTATTTTGTATGTATGTACGCATTTATGCATGCAATATTGCGCTTGCTAACGTGTCTCACAGTGGCACTGGTACAAAAAGGCGTCGGGCCTGGGCATGTTGGCCAATTGAATTCAAGTTAACCACTACTTTTTTTCATGCATACCTTCTTTGAGCTCACCAGTTAACCACAATTATGAAAGAAATTTTCCTTTTTGTGCTTAACAGACAAGCGCCTTAGTTACGTAATACCAATAATTGAGGGGGTATAAATTCAAAACCACAATATAATTATAAGAGACGCCGTAGTAGAACGTTCCGATGTTATGACCAACTGGGGCTCCTTCACGTGCACCTAATTCTAAGTGCATGGGCCCCGTCTATTTTAGCCGATACATCAAAAATGTGGCGGCCGCAACCTCGATTCCATCTCGCGATCTTCTGTTCAGTTGTGGAACACCAAAGTCACTAGGTCACCGCGGCAGACGCGGGTGTTATCGACGGTTGAAGCGGGAACGGAGGGGTAATTCAATCGTTCAACCTCCAAACAGGCACCCATATGTTTTTTCGAAGCACTTCCGCTTGTCTTTAGTGAATCGTCTTTAAAAATGTTTATTTACAAGGTCTGCAAGAACCCTATTGTCGTCGTCACTATCTTTTAGCGACGCATTTTCGTTCTACACGTCGAGGTGCCGATGAAACGAGCGCACTCAATGATTACGATTGCGGCTTCCCACAGGCGCTGGAGGGTTCAGCGTACCGCGCGCACTAGAATAAATGTATATGCTACCTTTAGGTAGCAGTGTAGTGCGATTTCTTCTCAAACGCCGCTAGCAACCATGCACCGCGGGGAAGCTGGTGCATGGGCCACACCGCTGAAAGCATAGAAGTGTGGCAGCTTGGGCTAGTTGGTATGGCATGACGATAGTCGTAGCGAGAGAACAAAACGACGACACAGAAACAAGAAGGACACGGGTCTTTCGTGTCCTTCTTGTTTCTGTGTCATCGTTTTGTTCTCGCGCTATAACTATCGTCACGCTGAAAGCAGTCACCGTCCACCTGGAATCTACCAAATGACTGTCGTGCACTCTGTAGCTCGTTAGGTACGATTTGGTGCGTTTATTTGTTTTAGATTTATGTTCTTAAGCTTCGACAGCAAGGTTTTTGCATGGCTTCGGCACCATTTTCGAAAAACATACTTAAATAAGCAATGGTGTATGCTTAGTGGGGCGTTCCTTGAGCCTCGGAAAAGGTATATTTTATGTTTGTGAGTGGTTGGTTATCTTTTACAGCTGGCGCCATTTGACCATGCGGAAGCAGCAGTGCGCGTTATACGCCTTGGCACTTTGCGTTACCGGACAGACTAAAAAGGGCTTTTCAAGTCACTTGGCACAGTCCCGAAAGCCGGTGTTTCTTCTTTATTTGTCGGTGCTTGACACGCCAGGCACGTCGACTGACGATCGGCGACACGCTTTGTCGATCGACGACAGCACGTCGCTTGCAAAATAAAGCGCGGCTTCACCACGTAACTACATGGTTGATAACCAGGCAAGATGGAGGATCAATGCACTACTCTGGTTCCGTAGGGAGCATATACGGTTAATTTTGTGCGCACCGCGCTGGCCAGGGCAGGGCTTAAATTTGAGAGGAGTGCAAGAGGACAACGTGCGCGCTGAAGAGGGTGTCGCTACTTTCCTAATCAAGAGGCTTCGATGTCCCCAAATCCTAGAAGTGGGCCACGAAAGAGCCGCACACTTTGCGCATATGATTTTCTAAACCATCTGCCCAGGCATTACTTCTTGACTTAACCTCTGTGTGCTGCGTATGACTGTAACTGGTCACTTTGGCGAACCTACTACAATGTTCAGTGGTTCACTTGATATGCCGCCTTCCAGGAACAGCGACAAAAAGCAATAATTTCCATTGGTCTACCTTAAAACTGCCTATGGTTTTGAGCCTGCGTGTTTAATTCTTTTTGTCAAGCAAGAAATCAAGGGACTGCGCAATAATTAAATGTCTAATTCGAAGCAGAGTAAGACTCATTGCCAAAACCTAAGCAAAAAAACATATTACTTCATTCGGTTATCAATTGATAGATGAACACGCATGTACAATAGACAATTGAACACCAGTTCGTCATAGCCTCAAAAGAAATTGAGAATCAAGCACTGATGAACCATATAAACTGTCTGCCCCCTGAGTATGGATAAGGAAAAATATAACACTAACCGAGAAGCCGCATTGTGTGCTCCAGCTCGTCCCTGAGTATTCGCAGTACCTTTTGGACCCCCTGTTTGCCCTGAAAACAAAATAAACCGATATCTTCAGTTCATTACACAGTCTCTTGGTTAGAGATTGAAGTAACACGCTTGGCTTGTCGCAAGCACCATAAAATCTTGGTGGTGATATCCAGTAAGTTCAATTAGTAGGACCAAAAAGCAGGCGAGTCGGAACTTATTGTTGGGGAACGCACAAATTGATTAAACATAAGTGAGAGAACAGGACAAGCGCTGGTCTAACAACTGAAAATTTATTTGAAATGTTAACTTGGTCGTTCATGAAATATAATAAGCTTAAAAACAGAACGCCATACAGCACTTCGCGTTCGCAATGCTCACCTATTGACACAGCTTAAACCAAAGCACAGAAGTATCTGCTGAAAGCGATGGGACGAGACAGCGAAGCACGATGACTTCATACAATCAAAGTTACATTCACCCCAAAACTCCACAGCGTATGTTGGCCATCGAGGTGCGTGCGATTAGATTTCCCAACACCTGCTAAACCACCCGTCAAATGCTCAAACACAAAGGAAGGCCCCTACTCGCGTCTTGAACGAGCATGAATAGGCGGGAAGGTAGGAGTTGCGCGAGAAGCAACAATGTTGTGAACTCGTTAAGGATGGATGGATGGATTGATTGATATGGCTGTACCCTTTAGATCGGGCGGTGGCTAACGCCACCAAGCCGTAATACTTAGAGAACCAAAAACTAGATTTACTTTTTTCTTCTTTAAATAGTGAGGTTGAGGATTCGTACTTTGTGTACGAATCCTCAACTTTTCACTCGTGCCTTGACTTTAGCCACCAATCAGATAACCTCCTTTTAGTTAATTCTACCCGATCAAAGTCTATTTTGCCCTCACTGTCCCTAAACCCCAGTGCTTTGAAAAACTCTGCGCCATCATCCTGAACTATAGGGTGAAGCCCTTTACAGAACATTATCAAGTGTTCGGCAGTTTCCTCTTCCTCTCCACACGCACTGCATACCATGTCTACCCCTTCGTATTTGGCCCGATATGTCTTTGTTCGCAATACTCCCGTCCTGGCCTGAAACATTAGAGAACTACCCCCAGTATTATTATAGATCCTTTCCTTGGCAATTCCATGCTTAAAACTTCGATAGATCTCTAGTGCGGACTTCTTAATTATGCCGATTCTCCGCATATCGGTCTCAGCTTCCTTCACCTTCTTCTTAACCGATAATTCTTTTTGGTTTGGCCCCTGCTGTTTTCCAAGTATTTACCAGTCAATTTTCTGGTTCGCTTCCTCCGTTTTGTATCGACATTCTTCATGTACAAGTAGCTGAATACCTTCCTAGCGCAATGCTCTGCCCCCATTTCTCTCAATTGCTTCTCAAATTTTATCTTGCTGCTAGCTTCCCTGTCCTGAAATGATGTCCATCCCATATCACCTTGTACTCCCTTATTTGGTGTATTCCCGTGAGCTCCTAAGGCAAGCCTTCCTATTCCACGTTGCTTAATTTCTAATCTTGCTTGAACTTCTGATCTCATGCACAGGACCGCATTACGAAACGTCAGACCAGGAACCATGACCCCTTTCCATATTTCTCTCACAACATCATGCCTATTGTAATTCCACCGTGGCCTGTTTTTCATCACTACTGCATTCCTGATACCTTTAGTAGTCACGTATATTTTGTGTTCCCTTAGGTACTTGGCCCTATTGCTTATCCATACACCCAGATATTTGTATTTATCTGTTATCTCTAGCGTGACCTCCTGTATTTTAAGCTCACTACCTTCATTATCATTAAAAATTATGACTGCTGATTTTTCCTTACTGATTCTGAAATCTAACCTATCTCTGAGGACGGGGGAAGGGGGCGCCCTCTGTGCTTCAACAATCGACGGTTGCCCTAGCAGGGTAATAGTGACTTCATCGAGTGCGCCTCGAAGTGATGGAGACGAGCCGGCTCGTTTGATCTCCGTTTCAGTCGCGTACGTTGCCCTCGCTCGTGGGTAGAACGTAGGATGCGCTGAGAATTGATATTAATTTTTACATTATACGGTAATGGGCTGCGACAGCGAAAAATCAGTCGAGCATGGCTATATACTTTCTAGTACATTTAAAATTTGTTTAGCGTGTGTGGCTAAAATACAAAAAAAACTTCGAAATTCATGGCGTCCCCGTCCAAGTTTCCATCGGGACATTTAGCAGTGAGGCTCTCGGCATTTATTTTTTTTTCGTAATTAATCTGTGTTTGTGATAACAACTTCACTAGAGTCTAATTGATCACTCTATATAGTTCTTTGTTTCACTTCAGTCCCCAATCGAGCATAAAAGAAATGGCCAAGTGAGCGAAACTGACAGCAAGCAAAATTGACACCGAGAATAATAGCCCAGCTGCCTACTTTTAACATGTGTGTAAAACATTTCAAGCATCATGACTTTTACCATTGCCATTGCTTTTGGTGAATTATCATATATAGCGTTTCACCAATATTTAAATATTTTTTTGCTATAGAAGCGTGGATCATTCATGCACAATGGTACGTATGGCAAAACAGAATGAACGATGCAGACTATTAGGTCATGAACGGCATAGTGTAACATTGATTGTTCTCTCACACTATGGTGTAGAAATTAAGATGGTAAATGAAATCAGCTAAACTGAAGGAAAAAACTAAGACCGCTTCGCAGTAGTGGTGACAATGCTTGAATAAGCAACAGAGCAGGGTAGTGTTGCTTGTCTTCCTTAATTGTTTTGCTTGTTCCTTTATTTTTCTGTTTCCCTCCATTGTTTTCTATCTCTTTATTGTCCTTGTTTCAATTTTTTGTTTCTTTTTCTGCTTATTACATTTGTATTTCTCCCTAGCTCTATTTATCAGTTCTGCACTTTATTCCCTTTGTTTATTTTTCTCTTCGTTTTCCCTTTTTGATATATTTTCGTCTATTTTCTTCTCTCTATGTCTCTGTTTTTTTTTGTTTTTTTTTGTCTCTCGTGCTTTTTTTATCTCATTTTTATGTTACCTATTTTATATCTCTTTTTATCTCCTGTATTTATTTCTTGGTCTATCTGCCTTGTTTTTATGTCTTCCATTACTTTCCTTCTTTCCCTCTTTTTGTATTTCTCGGTTTTTCTCTCTCTCGAAAATTGTGCTCTTCTTGCCCGTACAAGCTAATCCATTCGACGCAACCTGAACAAGTCGGCATGGCAGGAGAGCGCGCGTGAGCGGACATGTTCGTGTATGAATGCGGATGATGAAGAGGATGACGAATGTGCGTGCCAACCGATGTATTGCGTTGCACGCACAAGAAAATTAGCAGTGAGTTCTTGTACACACTTTAAGAGAACCGGGTATTCCCGCCACGTATACTAAGAGATGTTTATGCACCTTTTTCTTCATGACCAGAAGAGCTAGAGTAATTATTTTACTATAATTTTAACTATGAACATTTTCTCTTCTTATTGAAACATATTAACGCTGAAAATGGCATTGCTAACTTGCTGTAACTTTTTTTTTAACTTCAGGTACCAAATTAGCACACGATAATAGCTATTAAATGTCGTGTTGCAAAAAAGCACTTCCTCACACAACAATAATTCTGCTTCAGCATATTTCCTATTATGTTCTGCAGATACTAGCTGAAATCTATCATTCTGCATACAGCGGTTGCTCAGAAGAACTAATATAAGTACAAAGAAAGCATTCTTTGAGGTAGTTGCATTTGGAGTTGAAAATGTTCAATATTTCAAATGTACAGTGGGATAACAGAAAAGTGAACGACCCGTTCGATAGGCATTAGCCAGATACTCATCACCGATATTATTTTTCTTTCTTTTTGTGTTGAAGCATCTGGCCTAGCTAGCCTCATTTTTCGCTTGCTATGCAGCCGTGTCAGCACACCACTGTCGACGCAGTCCAAGGGTGTCTCGACCCTGCACTGTGCAGTGTGCAGTGCTCTGCCCAAATTCACAGATAATTCAGCACTTTTGAACTGACTACATCGCCATTATTAAAAGTTAAAACAGCATCAAGAGTGCATATATACAGTGTTTGGTGCCAGAAGAAATCGCTTTTTCAGAGCGCGCTCCTACATGACAATCCAACGACTTCTTATGTTTTGACTTTTCCATGAAAGCATTTAGGAAGTAATTCTGAATGAGCTAGTTTCAGATAATTTAGCTGAACAGTCTCAATAACAGAGGCTAGAAGGTAATCTTCAGGAATGAATGGTTCACCATTAAACTGGAATTGGTTGAATTTACACCATGCTTCGGTGTCCTTCAAGCAATGACCGTGGGATTGATTGGTATCCTTTGATGTCGTGTGAAATCATGTGGACCGTACGTCTGTCGCATGTCTTCCAAGCTGGCTCTATTTCTGTTACCCCCAAACAATAATAGTTTTGGTGCTTACCAATGATGACACCACTAAGACGTCCCCGACCAGATATAGCTTTCGCGACAGAATGGTTTATACCTCTGCATTCTTTAATTCTCGCATTTATGGGCCCATTCGTTGCTGAATGTGCGAAATTCATTCTAGCTTGCAAGCTGTCACTTCTTCATAGCGCTATGATGCTTGAACTGCAAAGAGTCCCTTGCTACGTAAGAATGAGGGTATGGCAGGCCGCCGAACAAGTCTTTAAATATGTCATTTTTAGAGAAAAAATCGTACTAAGACGGACAAACGAGTGGTTATGTTTAATGAAAGGCGGCAGATTTCAAATAACGCAAAAAAGGTTATTTTAAACATTTTTGCTTAATTTGTCCCCTTAGAGGTACTGACCATTCATACTGATGTTGATTTTGCTAACGACTGACACCGTAGCGACTAACTAGCCCAGCTGTGAAATCGCTTTTTTCTACGGTAGGAGCGCACACCGACAAAAAAGTTCTCTTTTCGTCTATTTTAATTACCTTCAACTGACATCAAAATCACTATACTCCGCGACAGCTTTTCTTGACAGCACTGTGGAAGCTATAGAGCCGAACCGCCTGCATGCGCGCGCGCCAGGAAATAGTACCTTTTTTATTTTCTGATTCTAATAGCTACTTGGCCCGAATAAATAAAACTTTCTTCATTATAAGGATAGAACAAGTATGGGACGCTGTTCATGGAAAAGAAGTTATCGTGCGCCTTAGTTTTTTTTTTTTTTATTTCTTGGACGGCACCACGTTTTTTGCACGCCGGCTGCGTCGGCTGCTTGCTCTTGCAGCGGCGAGCACAACATCGGCCGTGGAAAAGCTGCTCATCGTTGGGACGCGCCGTCTTTTAAACATCACGCATCGAACTTTCCTGCCTTATCACTGGTGGCCGCGCAAGCTCTGAAATAAGCTTCACTGTTCGCGTCTTGCGCGCAATCTTAACAACGATCTACAACAATTGTGAGGCTTCTCGAACACTGAGGCGCAGTCTGCGCCGATCATTGCTGACAGCCTTTGAGGGCGCAAACCGAATACGGCAAAACTGAAACAAGACAGGCCCGTGGCCGGATCGTGCCGCAACCGGCCTTCCATTTCACCTGTATCAGGGCTCAATACCGTAAACGTTAACATTCGATCACGTGTGGCGCGTACCCGTATATACTGGGCTGAACAAGGAACCTAAACTTCACTGTTATAGAGGCTGAATAATGCTGGGAAAACGTTCTGAACAACGGAAAATTTTATATGTACCAGTATATAAACAGCACAGTAACTAGCTGCATGTATGCACTCTCATCAAAGTTTAACTCTGACGTTCCCATTTTGCATGCATACATTTTCCTAAACACACTAGCGCAGCGAGCAAGTGAAAACCGAAACTGGAACCGAAATCGGCTGCAAGCTGCCGGACTACTTGCGTAGTATTACAAATGTGCGGAGGCCCCGCCTCCGTAGCCTTCGCTCCAATGTCAAGAAAAGCTGTCGCCGAGTATACACTACTGTTAAAGTGAGAAATATACGTCCTTTTTAAAAAAAAGCCCACTTGCGGAAAAAGAGACAGGAAGAAGCAAGTTCTCCCGCCACAAACGCACCTCCACACCACCACAAAGGCGGTCGACTGTTATTTTGTCCGTGTTTAAACGCCGTGTCTCTATTTAAATGTGTACCTACCTATGCTTTCTGTGCCTTATTTTTTGTTGGATTTTTCTGATTGTGTTCAACAACGAAGTCGTCCCCTAGAAAAAAAATAAATTTGTTTCGTTTAGCAATGTACGATTGAAGTGCGTACGTCATACGCCAGTCCACAAAGCACCGGCCACCCCACGAAGACCGCACGAGCTCCCAGAGCAAGTGCCTTGACTACGTCGGCGCCCGTGCGCACACCGCTGTCCAGGTACACCTCCATCTTGTCCCCCATGGCGGCCACTATCTCGGTAAGGACGTCGATCTGCGATGAGGAGAAGGTCGAATGCCAATTACGCTGTGTCATTCTAAAGTCGTCTGACGTGCAACAAACCACGCGCTGTCAAAACAAACACACAAAAAAACTAGGGATGAGTGAAGCGTGATTCAGCTCCACTTATGTGGAGCCTTGGAAAGGGCGAAGTATGCAGTGCGCACAGCTGTTCTCCAAGGCAAAATTGCTGTTAATGGGCAATAAGAGACAGTAGAAGAAGAAATAGAAGGAGAAAGATGTAGCTTTTTAAATCGCCTAACATTGTGGAATAACCATTCAACTACTTAATTTTGGCCAATCCCCAGAGTGCGCACATGTCCTTCTTTTTTTTAATAAAAATCAACCAAACCAAGTTGTTGTTGTTGTTGTTGTTGTTGTCATCGTCGTCGTCGTCGTCATCGTTGTCGTCGTCGTCGTTTGGTGAGGGTGGTGGTCGCGGTATCAGAACCCAGCTGCAGCGGCTGCATATTCGATGGAGGCGACAATGCTGTAGGCCCGTGTGCCTAGATTAGTGTGCACGTTAAATAACACCCGGTGCTAGAAATTTCTGGAGCCCTCCACTATGGCGTCGCTCAAAGTCATATGGTGGTTTTGGGATGTTAAACGCCACATTTCAATCAAATCACATACATGGATCACACTCACTCAGGGGGATTGGCCAAACAACAAGTATTTGGATAGCAGAGATCCTATTCTTCTTCAGTCTCTCAGTGCCCAATAGCAGCGAGTTCCCCGTAAAATATTTTCTTGTTACGCATCGTTACATGCTGCGAAGTATGTCTTGCAGGAGAAAACTTGTCACTTGAAATCATTTTTGGGATTAAATTTAACACATAGCAGGTATATGATAAATAAATCCTGATATAATCGACTATTTGTTGGTCTAAATGTTGGTCGTCTTCCTTTTTACTAGACTGGTGGCGAGTAGATTTGTGTGTGTTTAGAAAAAGTGGTAAATGATTTAGAGTACTCGGTACTATATTATGGGAGAGCTGAAAGCCGTCCCTTCGAACACCAAAAGGTAGAGAAGTTCCACATATTTACCCAATATTTGGGGTGCATAACCGTTTTATCCCGGACCAGGACTGCACAACATAACATGCCAAGATGCCGTGAGCCTAAAGAATCTCGCTCCTAAAATACACTTCTCCATGTGTCCATTCAGATGTTTTGCACCTACAATTCAACAAAGGTAATTGAGACAAAAGAAAAGATTATTTTCGATCTACAGTCCTTTTATGCAAATGCATAAGTTACCGCATGAATTTATACGTCATTATCGTACCACGTATCACACAGGCATAGATAGAACTGGCGTTGACGGGACTCTTCACCGCAATGAGAAGTCTTCCTCGTCTCGTTACGCTCTATGTTCGGAACCCGACTGGCTCGCCCCACATCGCGTACACGCGGGATCAGTCGACACTCTTGCGCGAACGAGCGAACTTTTGGAGTGTCCTAGAAAGTACTCTTGTTGTCTTGAGACATTCAATGATTTACGAATGCCTTTCCGGAAAACTTGTTCTAGATAACGTCTGGAGACAATTTCTCGCTTACTACTCATGGAAAGTTCAGGAGGAACAGTTAACAGGTGAGCATGTGAAGACAGCCCCATCTTCTACTAGTAGATTTATAAGCAGTATTTCTCTCCGTCTTTTAGTCTCCCGCTTTTGCCCTAAATGTTGGATGTTGTTCGGGTTTCACCAGTTAGCTGTATGTGTTAAAAGGCAGTAATCAGTAGAATTTTACATAACATCCAGTGCACCTATGTACGAAAAAAATATCATCATCATCATCATGAACGGCCATATGGGAAAAATCCCATCGTAGGACACAGGAAAATGTGAATGAATATTAGAGAGAGAGAGAAATGTTTATTTTTACAAAGAAACTCAGATGTCAGCCTAAATCTGTGTTCTAGCCTGCTACTATGCGTTAGGAAAGGAAAGGTGGTGGAAAAGAGAGAGAGAGAGGAAGAGAGTGTTGTTCATGATGAGGGAGGTGGCAATGAAGCAAAACCTTGGATAAGTTACCAAATTAATATTTAGAAAAAATCAATAACGAAAGGTATAAATAAATGGATACATAGCTTAATTAATTATATCCTCATGTTAGCACTGCTCGACTGAAAAGGAAGAAAGGAACATAAGGGCCAGGCGCCATTCAGGGTTTCTGGACAGATGTAATCAACAATCAAGAAAGACATTACTGAACCTCCGGAATAAATCTAGTGAGGAGCCCACCACAGGATTCGATGATTAGACACATTTACCATGTTTCTGGGTGATAAAATGGTTGTGGTTTGTATTTTATTATATACCTAAATTATTAAAAGCAAAACTACTGCCTCAGTATCAATAGCACCTCCACCGTGCACCACTTACGTTAAAAATGTTTTATGATTACATGCCAACAACAGTGCAATTAATACGCATATGCAACCAATATATTCGGCCTTAAAGGCAAGTCGGCTTCAATCAAAAAATGAAGAACACCTTCATTCACGGAACAGAAAGGTACGCACTGTTGCCGGTGTTCCATCTAGCTATCGGCCACCATGGTTGAAGACAATGACGGCGGCAGCACCGTGCCTGTAAGCTTCCAGCGCATCTTCAGCTGCAACATGGCAGTGACGATAGTGAGAGAAGAGGCAGCAGTAAATGAACAAGCACCCTGAGCCTCGCAGGCTCCGTTCTATGCAAATATTGTGAGCTAAATGTACCTCTTTCATGGCTCTACATCTTTTCACAAAAAAGAGATTAACAGTGCAAGAACGGGACCAAGAAAGGAATGCATAAGAATAGACGCCGGTCAAGTGAATAGTTATGCGAAGAAGCCAAAATTCTATACGTAGGAAAAGAAAACAAAAAAAACAAGAATGAACGAATATCAGGGGCCATTTCCGTCGTGCAAGTGGCGTTAGCTATCGAATTTTCGGACGTAGCATAGTTCCAGAGATGGCGTGCTTACACTCAGTTGCTCGCCCTACTGGCCGATAACAAGGACCTCGGAATTGCTCCTGGCGTGCACATCACGGTCCCGTTACGAGAGGGCAATGTCAGACGAGCTGAGGGTGCACTCACAATGTGTGGCGGAATCGATCTCAACACCATCATTGGCATATTCCAATAAAGTACGTGGGCAGCTCGAACTAGTGGAGCAACGATTCACTAAGAGCGGAGCTTGCGGCCGACTTGCAGATTAATGGCAAGGTTTTATTTAACGAGGTTCGATTTATTATGGCCATAATACGCAATGTGTTATTCGCATCATAATACTTGGGACGGTCTAGTGAGAGTCTCCTTCATTAACGTAGTTTATTACCCGAATTTTCATTTAGCAGTTGTAATTAACCTGTAGCTACGCTTCACGGTAATGCGTCTTTTCCATTTTTCTGTGTCACCATTTGGCATTTTGGCAGGATTCGGTATGGGCCGGGAGAACTGGCATGGCTACAACGAAGGCCTCCGAGGCATTTTGCGACTTCTCCGCTATACGGAAGGGTGCATGCGCCCGGCATCGTGAAAAAGGCGGATTATTATAAAGGATTCCTTGGAGTGCCTGTAGTGTTTGTAATATTGACTTCTGCAGGAATACGCATCAGAGAAACTTACATTGAGCATCGAATGCGTCGATCTTAATTGAAGAGCTAGCCACATGCCTTATTATCCGCCAAATGATTGGGCGATACAACGAAAAATACCCAAACTGTCCTCATTGTTCGAATACGTGCCACCAAAAGCAAACTGTCTTTATTTAGAGTCACTCCTAGGATGAACAATATAAAGAGAGCACGCGCCGACCGACTTAAGGCACTACGCACGCTAGGCACAGCCTCCTCTTCTCTTCGCGCGAAACGGTGAAACTAGACGCTTAAAGGCACAATAAAGAGCAACAATGACTTGTTTAATATTGACAAACTGCGCTAAAAAGTGAGGTTTAACGTCCCAAAACCACCATATGATTATGAGAGCCGCCGTAGTGAAGGGCTCCGGAAATTTCGACCACCTGGTTCTTTAACGCACACCCAAATCTGAGCACACGGGCCTAAAACATTTCCGCCTATATCGGAAATGCAGCCGCCGAAGCCAGGAGTCGCTCCCGTGACCTGCGGGTCAGAAGCCGAGTACCTTAGCCACTAGACCACCACGCCGGGGCAATAAACTGCGCTCGGAGAACTCCAATGGCATGTGTTTCATTATCATGGGTTCATTATTAGCGGAATAAACTCCGGCTGCATTTCCGATGGAGGCGAAAATGTTGTAGGCCCGGGTGATCAGATTTGGGTGCACGTTAAAAAACCCCAGGTGGTCAAAATTTCCGGAGCCCTCCACTACGGCGTCTCTCATAATCATATGCTGGTTTTGAGACGTTAAAACCCACATATCAATCAGCGGAGAAAACTAAAATTGACGTTGCATATTGAAACCTCACGCCAAAATCTTTGTACGTGAGGTATGAAATTTTCAAATGTATATTTGGCATTTCCACGACATTGGCTCAATAAGATTCTCGGAAACTTTGTATGATATGTCTATGACGTCCGCGTGATAACAATGTACTTCAATTATATAGGTTGGAGGCTACGTAGCACCTCATAGACACCTTCAACATTTCTTACGTTGTGGTGTTTGTTGCGGAAATCTCTAGGTGGCATAGCCACCAACATCTTCTCGTCGCTTGTTTTCTTGCCTATTAAGCGACATGACATGGTAAGAGTGACGTTTTCGAAATTATGAAAATCAATTTTACTAATACGCGACAAAAACCATTTTGGTCTTTAGCGTTCTTTTGAACAGCTCCGCTGTAAATAGTTACGTCCCAGTCAGCACCCACTCGAGTGCTTTTCTTTCTTGCTCTTGCGTTCGCGCTGTTAATTCCTTCTTTCAGACAGGTACAACCGAGACCACTTTTCACCACTTCTCGACTCCATTGTTATCTTCACTAACATGCATGTTTCATAAAAATATCTAGTTCTCCTACAGGCCAACCTTCAATTCTCAATTGACCTTTGTTCTGGATGGTCACCTTCCGCAACCTGCAGAAGTCAGGAGTGTTTCAATATTTCAGGCTGTCTTTTCAAAGTTATGATAAAGGTTTTTGGTAAAGTTCATAATGCCTAACTGAAAAATATAAAACTAAATGAGCTGTTACGCACCAAAGAAGCGTCATAAATTATGCACTTGTCAAAAGCACTGTTTCAACGTTTCTTTCTCGGTCACGGTTGTTTACAAATAACCCACAGCACTATTAGGTTTCTAGAAATTTAATTGCCCGCAAATTATGATCACTATAGTTTAGCTGTAATTTATACATGCCGTCAAACTATCTTTAAAACAAAAAAACGTTGAAACCCTGCTTAGTGCTTGGTGTGAAGCATTTCTGTCAGTCGTGCATCATTGAAAATGTAACTAACACATCGTACTACTTTTTCCTGAATGCGCATTGTTTAATAAGCGTCAGCGTCCCGCTCACCCCTGAGAACGCCCTTGACGACAATGGGCAGATCAGCAAGACTGCGCAGCCATTCGATTTCCTTGAAGGTGGCAGATAACATGGCGCTTACTTCGCGGGAATGCTCGCCCGTGGCAGTGCAACCGGGCCGGTGATAGGAAAACGCGGCGTCCAGGTTGGCAGTGCTGTAAGAACATAGAGAGTGAAGGGGAATTACCTTGCCTCTTAAATGCTGCATTCAAGCACACACGTCTAATTACACCGATACAGTTATTCAACTACCGCGCGTTTGTCAGTTTGTTGAATGAAACTATAATTTCTTTATATTTTACATCCACGCTTAGAGTCGTGCTCAGTGTTGGTCACAACAGGCTGGCCGTGGTTAGAGTGATCCCAAGCCTCAACAATGAAACCAAAAAAAAATTTAAATTGATTCTAAAGTACCACTGAGAGTTCAATGCGCCGATTCTTTTCTATGTAGGTGCCTATTTGAAGTGCTGGCGGCATTTTGAGTCCAGACAGCGTGTTGCAACTCACATCGAGCGGGACTGTACATACATACATACATACATACATACATACATACATACATACATACATACATACATACATACATACATACATACATACATACATACATACATACATACATACATACATACATACATACATACATACATACATACATACATACATACATAGTGCACGAGTGCCTTCAACCTTTTCCGATACCTCACCAGTGGTTTTCTGTAACTCCTGTTAGAATGCTTGCGTAAGTAGGCGCCTGCCGGAAGTAGAACAACGTTGGTATGGCGTACTGAACTCTGTCAGAGCCGTGCGCAATTTCATGCTCAATTGCATGCAGCCAACGTAAGAAGCGCACTACGGAACATCTTTTTTCAGGATACTAGACCACAGTAAAGTATTTCACGCATTTTAGATGCCTGTTACTTTACTTTCGAATTAAGGGTTATTCGAAAAACCGCGTACATTACGCCAGAAGTGAGCCATTAACAATACAAGCGCATGAGGCTAGGATTTTTTCACCAGCCACACTTGACAATTTTCGCACCATAGGTCAAGAAGAGCCTCAGTATTGAGCCACATTTCTAAAAGCAGTTCAACCAAGACAGGTGTTAAGCGGAAGATGAAGGTCTTCAATTGTGCGAAATTGTTGAACGGAGAATGTCGCTGGAGGCTCCATCCCTATTCCTCAGTTGATCAATTTCTCATCGCTTCCTCTGAGTGCCATCTTGTCGCCGCTGTGCTGTTTGCGTCAGCAATCATAACAGAGAAAAGTTTATTTTTGGACGTCAATTTTCGCTGCCCCATGCATCTTTGCTTGAAATATCTCGTAGTGCCTGTAGGAGGTTCATTAGAGCCAAACTGATCGGCAAGATTTTACATGACGTTATCAAACGTGTGTGACAACACGACATCATCGGAGAGCCAAGGATTGACGAATCTATGACACCGTCGAGATTAAGCAGGTAACTCTACAAAGGGATCAAGTAGAGAAAGCTTCAGTGTGGATTGGTAGTGATAGAGTTGAAGCAGAGCAAGCGTAACATACTCTTTCGTAAGCTCTTTTAAAAAAAAGGATGTCAGGTTCCTAATGCCAGATGTATTTTTTTTTTTGCCCCTCAGTGTCCACTCAATGTTCTCGTAGACGAAACACCAACCTAATTCCATTTGGAAGGCCGTGTGGGTACTCGTGGCGGCTCACTTTGTCTCCATCGACAGGCGCGTCAGCGGTGACCACGATCACCTTGCAACCCTGCGCCGCGGCCCTTTTGACCAGGTTCTCGGTGAGGCACCGCTCGCTGAACAGGTACACCTGCTGCCAGATCGGGCACTTGGGTGCCTTTGCCATTACGTCCTCTAGCGCCACGCTGCTCAGGCAGCTTAAAATCATCACAGTGCCAGCATCTTGAGCAGCTGTCATGGTAACGAAGCGAAAAAAAGGCACTTTCTGCGAAGGTATTCATCCTACACTTACGATGAAGAACCAAGGAATAGTTCTCATTAACATTGTGCCAAACAAATACAAACAAGCTTTTAAATTCACACCTTTTACTCCTTCAGTATTTACGGAGATTCGTGGACAGTGATCACGTGCGTAGTATATTTTGGAATTGCCTTAAATGCGTGATAGCTTGTCTGGCTCCCAGCCCTTTTCGGAAAAGCTTTTGGTTGCATAGAAGTATATTGACAGCGTCCAGCGTAACTCCAACTTCTGCTGGCAGTTCTCGAGTACGACAAGCTCGTATTTAGAGCATGTGGTACTCCTTCAAGCCTTCTTCACATAGTCTACATTCGGAAACAGCACAACGTGTGCACAGAAACTAACTGCACTTATAGTGTAGATGAACGGATGGATTATATTAATATGGCTGTACCCTTTAAATCGGGCCGTGGCTAACGCCGCCTAGCCGTAGTACTTAGTGAACCAAAAACTAGATTTCTCTTTTTTTTTTCTTAAAATAGTGAAATCGAGGACTGGGGCTTTGCAGTGATTGATATAATTTTCACTCGTGCCTTGATTGTAGTAACCAATAAGATAATTTCCTTCTAGTTATTTCTACCTTCTTAAAGTCTATTTTGCCCTCTATGTCCCTAAACCCCAGTCCATTCAACTACATAATAGCTCCCTCTGCCTTCAGCTCTCCCCTTTCTCCTTAGTCTGATGAGCAGTCACAGTTTACAGCCAAGCCCTCTAGTGCCACCACTCCTCCTTTCTCTTCGTTAAATAATTCACTATTCACAAAACTTTGGTGCACTTCGTGGTACATAGAGATCTGTGCATCGACCTTGGTGATTACTTGTGCTCGACGTCTCATTGCGTGTTTTCCTCCATGTCATGAGCCGCCAGCTTTTTTTTCACCTTTCCCTCCACGTCCCAGGCACAACGTAGCCTAACGTGCTCATCCATCATTAGTCTTTTGTCATTTTACTCATCATAACACTCGCTTTCTCCGAATTTGAAGGTTTTGCATATTATGCAGTTCAGCCAACTTGTTGGATATGTCATTAGCTTTTCTCGTAAAGAAATGTGGAAGTATATAACGCCGAATATCAGCGTTTTTGACCTGCACAAGCTTGCAGCAGCAGGGCAGAAGGTACTAGATGTTGACACCCCCCCCCCCCCCGCATGCATAGCCATGTGGTAGGGGAGCGGGGAGGCGAAGGTTTGTCATAGCACTCCCCATGCTTATGTCAGAAAATGGGGCTGGTTTTGCGTCCCCCCCCCCCCCCAGAGTCTAAGTGCTCCCCACTCGTACCATGTAATCGTATGGGGTTGACTCTGCTTTTGATGAGGTGTCTCTGGTTTTAGACTTAAAAATTAATGATGAAATCGGCTATCACTTCATGTCGTCTCAGCCACAAACCTATGAGCCCTATGCAGCAGGGCTGAGAAGATAATAATATCGAAGGAAAGAAGGTCGTATATAGAAGCGACACGTACGGAATAAGCAGGAATCGGTTTTGAAGGCATAGCCTTACCTGTCTGTACCTGCTTAATTGCCAATGGCTGAGTCCTCCTAGCAATCAGTTACCGAAATATTGTGCTGAAATTTGTGTGTGGCTTGATTTTTAAACATTGGTAGACATGTGCTCTACCAAATGTGCGCATTTGGAGAAAAACATTCTGAAAAATAGTAAAAGTATTAGGATTTTGTGTTCTTTCTAAGACAGTCCAATCGAGAACTCTTGAGCCCTCCGAGTGATTGTGCATATTCTGTAACGTTTTGGCATTTACGAAAAGTAATAATGACTCAGAATCGACAAAACAAATATAAGAAGTTAACGAACATGCTTTTTTGCCTATTTTATAAATTTATACATAGTTTAATAAGGGACGGAATTATCTACCTTGTGAAATGCCTCGAGAGTTAGTATGTTAGCTCAGTTAACAGTGAATATAAAACTCAAACGAATTATTTTTACGTGAGAGTGAAATACGTGCAAGTAAAACATAACCTGTTGGGCAGGTAATTCACTAAATTTAGTGGACGTACACGCTTTTCTTCTTCCTGTTTTAACCCTTTTTTTCCTTTATTTCTTTCTTTCCTTTTTCACTCGGTTGTCAAAGCTTTGTAATTACCTATCAGCACTGATCGCAAATCCTCTTAAACGGAAACTGAAGCTCTTTTCTAAAAAAATGTCTTAGGAGCGTGTAAGGAGAGTTTGATCCGAGCTGAATTAGAAAGTGATGTGAGAGTTCTCAAGAGTGAACGCCAATAGCACTTTTAGGAGAAAAAACAGTGGCTGTGGCTACCATGCTTTTTTATACGCCGAGAGAACACAGTGACGTCATTCTCGATATGACGGGTCATGTGCAACAGCAGCACTGCTAAAGTGTGGCCTATTCGATTAGTTACGGAAACGGCACGTCATGGGTTAGTCACGGAGGCCATGGTTGAAGATAAGAAAGAACACATGCTCCGGGCCAGAGGAACTGAAGATGTCGTATGTTTTCACGCCCACACTTTCAGTGTGCTCGTGGGGGAGGAGCAAGACAAGCTGTTATTTCGCCTGTTCTAAAGCTCCTGCTCCTACAACCGTGAAAACTATTATGACATTGTCAGCAATAATGTCGGTTCTTCCTAAACACATAGTTTGATTGAATACTGAATTCCTTTGAGGTTCGCTTTAAGACAAAGATCACGTACTTTTCGGTATCTCTGTCTTTTTGCCTCGAACATTTTCCTTAATTTCAATAACCGATTACCATTATGGCGGAAGGGTCACGGTGTGAAACCTACCTTGCGCCGTTCCGACCTCTCCGATTGGGTTCGCGATCTTGTGAGTTGCGGACGGTGACAAGCTAACGGGAAATTCAACTTCGTGACCCAGTAATGTAGTCGACGTCCTGATCACGTCCACGTTCACGAGGATGCGGGGTCTGAAGCGAAGCCTGCGTCACATATCTGGGTGTGTGATATCGGCTGCCCAACGCACTCCCTCGTTAAGCATTGTGCCAGCTGTGGTCAAGACGCAGCACGAAAAAGAGCTTTCGATATGATGATTTTGATAGCACATATAACATTGGCTCTGAAAGATTTCTAACTGTTCACTGTAAACCAGTTTTCACCTTTAAGGGTGCCTTGTCTGGCCTATAACTAGCACCCAACAATAAGAGTGTTTCGACAAACCAAGACATCCATGTCATGGGTCTTTTGGTGTTTCAAACAACTCATGACGTGGTTGTTTCGTTTCTCAACACACCTTTATTGTAGGATGTTAGTTATAGACCAGGCAAACCATTTTAAGGGTACAAACTTGTTTACAGTGCCCCTTTTCAGTTCTTGACCAAGAAACAATGTCGACTACTTAAACAGAGGGGACTTTCACCGGTAATGAAAGCGCAGGGATTTTATTTTGGGTACTGTGGTGCTTGTGCTTTAGTAACTCTGGAAGAGGGTTTTGCTCGATAGCAAACGTCCGTTGTTTGCAAGAAACCATGGTGTCACTGTTTCTGAGTTTTTCCTTTTAATAATTTTTTTTCAGTTTCCATGTTTTGGTGATTTTGTTTGAGTGTTCACAGTCTTCCCTACAATTCATATGACATCAGAAACTTCTCTGATAGCCCATGTTTACCTGCACTACCTAAAAGAAAAGAACACACACTACATAAACATGCCAGCACATAATGTATTCTTTCTATTATGATCAAGTAGTCATTCTAACTGGATATTTCTTATCATGATTTTCAGTTATTTTGAAACACGATGCTCAACTCCTGCGACTCAGCGTGGTGTACTATGAACTTTAAGATTTGTTTTTATATCTGTTCAAAATTTGAAAACTTCTTTTATGCTTATTAAGAAGCAGACATCAATTACAATGTATGTGCATTACTTTATATCTTACAGCACCTTTTTGTTTCTTAAGTCATTGTCCAATGCAAATTTCGATGGCGGCAAAATGCTAGAGGTTAGTAGGACGTTCTTCAAATGCAACTATAAGATTTTTTGTGGCAAAAAGCCATAGTTACAGGTACGGATATTGCAAAGCTATATTGCACGAGAAACAAAAACTGTATTGAAATATATTGGTATCACCAAACAAAACTATCACATTTAACGCCTAAAACCTACGGGGAAAACTTTCGTCACTAAATGTCATGAGATTATCGCCACGTAAGGCCGGAGGGGAAGCTGATAATTGTGGGTAAAACTTTAAAGCTTCGGTTTCACATCACGAAGCAAGCAAAGTAATGGTTAAAGAGTGTAGTGCAGTGGTCGGTGTGAAATTGCAGCTGTAGGTACGGAAAATGAAACAGATAGTTTTTGGCCTATTGTTATTGGTGGAGCTTACTAAGGCGGAATTCTCAAATAGCTCCTCGAACGCGATAGTTGAACGTTGGCGTATCACCTCAACAGCGCCGGTGTCCTGCGACGTCGGGAACGAATGACGTGAAGATCGTCATTGCGTGAAGATGGCACCAAGCGACGTCAAACTGACGTCGCAAATTGCCAAAATTTGTGACGTCATTATGACGGCCCCAAGCGTCACTGTGACTTGATGACATCATCACATGACATCGTAGCTTAGTCAAAGACGGTGCCGTCTTGGAGGCACTGCAAAACCAGGTAAGGTACCTCAGATCTTGGAGGCAGAGCAAGACCACGCCAGGTGCACAAAGCTTGAAAAGTGGGGCGCGGCAATATCAATAGATCGGATGAGAGAAAAAGAGAACAGCTTCCGCCATCAAGTACTCTTTAAGTGAATGCATAAATACTTTTTTGCGAGAGCATTTGCATAAAAAGTTTCGACTGATTTTTTCCTCTCACCTTCGCCATCATGTACCACTTGACGTCCAAAGTGATAAGATCCCGCTGGGCACCGCGCATTCTACCCGCGGGTAATTGTGTGCGAGCGGGGCCGATTTAGGCGGCTAAAACTGAAATCCAACAAGACGGCTTATCTCCGTCAGTCGAAGGGTTGATGCGATAAGATCATGGCGCCTGCTAGACTGGCCGTCCGAAACTCAAGCAGAGGAAAAATACCCCCCCCCCTTCTTAATGAGCATAAAAAAATTGGCAGATCCCACATACATTGGGAATCGATGATATGAGAAGCACGAAGGACAAAGGTTGACATGTCACTGTAAAATCAGCACAACGTTACGAGCTGGAGGTAATAATGCCGTACATGACTTCCGTGTCATGATTATCATGTTTAAATGTGTCGCTTACCTTCCTCATCTATTCACGTCACAGGATACCAAATTTAGTATATGTGAAGCTAGTGAAACGACCACGAGCACGCTATTAGCATGGTGTGCTGTCATGTTCTTAGATGACACGCATGTCAGGAATATCATGTTTGCATCAGTCTTATAATTTCGTCATGCATTGACGTCACGTAACACCAAATTTGGTATATGTGGAGCTAGCCGCGAGCGCATCATGAAGGATCCTATATACTCCAACTCAGCGTTGATGCGTACGCACGCTGGTACAGTGACGCTACGTTAGCAAACGTGAGGCCAGGCGCGACTGACGCGACCAGCGTCCATCGGTGCGGCCCGACGGCACTGGCAGGAAATGCGACATGCTGAATTTCGCACCGATGCGTTACCGAGAAAACGCTGCATCTTCCTGTTTTCGTGACGCAGGGACGCCGGACGCACTGAAAGGCGCATGCGTCAAAGCAACGCAGCACGGCGCGCGCCTGCGCGTATAAGACAGAACCGGCGCCTGGCGTGGCAACGCCGGCGTCACTCAACGAAATGAACGCCGGTAAGCACGCGCACCACGTCAAGTCGAAATGTATTGGCGCCTTGAATGTGGCATGTAGTCATGTTCTCGCATGAGACGCATCTCATGATTAAAATGTTTGCACCAGTCACGTACTTCCGTCATACATTAACGTCACGTAATACCAAATTTGGCATATGTAATGCTAGCGAAACGGCCACGAGCCATTATGAGTCTGGCATGTAGTCATATTGTTACATGACACGCATGTCGTGATTATCATGTTTGTATGTGTCATTTATCTATGTCGTCCATTCACGTCACGTAATACTGAGTATGGTACATGTGAAGCTATCAAAACGGCCGTGAGCACATCAGGAGCGTAGCATGAAGTCATGTTGTTACATGACCCGCTTTTCATGTTTATCATGCTTGCACCACTATCGTACCTTCGTCATACATCCACGTCCCGTAGTACCAAATTTGGTATAAGTGAAGCTAGCGAAACGGTCGCCAGTGCATCATGAGCGTGGCATGTAGTCATGTTGTTACATGACACACAGTTCATGATTATCATGTTTGCACTAGTCACATACCTTCGTCATCTATTGACGTACCGTAATACCAACTTTTGGTATATGTGAAGCTAGTGAAACTCCCGCGAGCGCTTCATGAGCTTGTCGTGTATTCATGTTGTTACATGACACGCATGTCATGATTTCAATGTTAGGGTATGTAGCTTGTGTACGCCGTGCAATTATGTCACACCTTAGTAGTTTGGAACATGCCATGTCACCGAAACCATCGCAAGAGCTGTAGACCATGAAATGTAAAACATGATATTCATGACATACATATGATTTTCATGTAATGACTGGTCAGATATGTTCTTCATACAGTCATGTTATGCCATACCAAGTTTGGCATTCATACCTTTATCGAAACGGCCAGGAGAGCTAAGGCCCAAACAACGAAACGTTCCTTTCCTTTGACCGCGTCCTCTCCTTACGTGAGGCCTCCTTACAACCAAGTACCGACGGAGGAAGCAAGCGTACTCTGAAAGCTCCCTTAACCCGTCCTCGCGGGAGGAATGGTTGCCGCGCTCCTGCGTTCGAGATTATCGAGTATAAGCTTTGCTCACAAGCGTTTATTCTGTAAAAAAAAGTTGGGTCACCACATCACTTCCAAATTGAAGGGTTAATATAGAGACGCGTGTACGTTTTCTTCCAACTACGATTACTGAATGTGAAAAGCCACCGTAGTCGAGCGCAAAACGTGGTGCATTCTAGCAACACTGAAACGCCCCACGGAGGAAGGAAACAGGTTTCCTTTCCTTCCTCCGTGGTGCAGTGCACGCACGCTCGCCGCTCGTGTCTCCCCGCAGAGGTGGGGTGAGAGGGTTGCCTCGAAAACGAAAACATCACGTGGGCTAGCTGTGAGGCGAAGCGCTCGTTCAGGGCAAGGAGCGGACCTAAGGGCGCACGAAGGTAGCCCCAAAGCAACCTTAAGCTGAGGAAGCGCCAAGGAAGCCTTCACCGAGGGCTCCTCACCGAGTGAGGAAGCTTTCAGAGTGACATAAGGCGGCCTCACAAAAATGAAGGCTTCCTTACTGAGGAAAGGAACGTTTCGTTGTTTGGCCCTAAAAGTCCTAGGCGGATAGATAGATAGATAGATAGATAGATAGATAGATAGATAGATAGATAGATAGATAGATAGATAGATAGATAGATAGATAGATAGATAGATAGATAGATAGATAGATAGATAGATAGATAGATAGATAGATAGATACGCGCAAAGTCGCCGAAGTTCAAATGCTTCGCATTTAAAAGGTGCAAAGGATGGACAGCACTACAAACTTCCATTTCACAGTCGTGGTCTCCGTTGGCGGCTCGTGTACGCCTACGTGCTACGCTCTCAACATGAAGAGGCTGTGCGAGAATTGGCCGTGGGGCGGCTGTGTTCTTTTACACCAGCGTTTTTTAGAGTTGTGTAAGATCGGATAAAAATGAAATACCTGCCAGCCCCTCTTGCGCAGTGAAATTTGTTGTTACCGCATTTATTTCTTCACCAATACATACGGTAAATAGTTCATAAATGAACACAACACAGATGCATATTCAAGAACAGGGCGAATGAGGGATTTATAAGTAAGGTAGTTCAGTATTGTCAGGGGCCATGTTATTCTTTGGAGGGTGATATAAACAGATACATACCTCTGAAAGGCGCGTGTGTTGTCCTCGAGGGTCTGTTCTTGGCCTGCTCCTAAAGCGATGTAGGTCCTTGCACTTTCTGCCATCTTCGCCTCGGCCAGCCGCTGAATGTCCGCAACCGTGACCGCCATCTAGGCTGCCGTATACACCAGGTTGTCCCACTGCCGTGCCTGGGCAATAACAGGTGTCGTTCCAATACCGCACATCACACAGTGCGTATCGGTCCTTATCAGAGATACCATGAGGAAGCGCGAGCCATGAACTGTCGCACATGGTGGACTTACAGGGACCATTTTGTGGGGTAAATCTTTTAATGCAACATTCAATAACCAAAGAGAACAGATAGCGCCATTGAATTTTTCACAGAGCAGAAATTGGGATTTTTTTTTCGATGCTTCTGATTCTTCGCTACTTTTGAGATACATCATGTGTTTTTTTTTTTATTGTTGCTATAGCAGTATACCTAGGGTTGTTCAATTTTGGGTTTTATATTTTTTCAAATTCGTGGGGTAAAAATCGGGCGGTATTTTTCAAACTGATATTCGGGGGAAAATCGGTTTTTTTTTTTTTGCGAAACCATTCCTTACTTCGAGTTTTTTCGGGTTAAATATACGGTTGTACTTATCAGAACTTACACTGAGCTTATCAAAACGTATCACGGGCTTTTTAAGTATAACACGTTAAATTTGGTGTTTCAAGCTGGTAATTGGGACAGACACCAGAGTATTATAGCAAATACAGTATACTACCCGAAATTTTGTGTTTGTTTGAAAATGAATCAGTGGTGCTTGAAAATAAATGAATCAGTAAACATTGACTCTTAGAAATTATACATTTTATTCTCGAAAATCTGGTCATCGATTTTTTACACGTCCTTGTTGACATACATTATCATCTGCATGCGCAACATGTCAGTCTCCATTCGAGATCTGTCCGGTCGTTGAACATATCTCAGCTGGGAGAAAGTTCTCTCCACGTAACAGTTACCATTAGCTAGGCACAACAATGTCAGTGCAGCTTTTGCAAGCCTTGGGTAGCGAGAAGTAGAGTCATGCCAATACTCGATTAGTTCGACAGCTGGGTTTGTGGGGCTCGCTTCCAGCAAATACTGGTTGAACTCGTTATTAAGGGAATCTACATTGTCGGTAACGGACATGAACAGAGGTCGGTAGTCCTCAAATGACTGCCCCAGCAGACGCTTCTGAAACGGATCAAGGACGGCTCCCAACTTCCACAAAGTTAGCTGGTTTCCCTCTTTTTCTGAGACGTTCCGTCCAAGAGTGCAGCGCCATTTTGTGGCGAGTTTCGTGCAGTACTCTTCAGAACATATTTTTACTAAATTAGCGCTGCGCTTGGGTAACATAGACAAAACAGCTTTGGCCTGATCGCTTTTACCGGTCATCGCCGAAAGCTCCCGGATAATCTGCTGCAGCTTCACGTTTACCAGGTGATCAAAGCTGGGCATCAAAAGCTTCCAACTTTCAAGCGTTTTCTGGGCTTCCAAAAGTGGGCCGAGTGCATCTCTCATCAAGATTGCCTTCGCATAAACAACTTCTTTTTCAGAAAGTATCCCTCGAATAGCTTCCGCTTTGCTGCTATCATGCGAGCTTTCAGCAAGTTCTGTTAACGAGCTCCACATTTCTACGACTACCACAAGTGCCTTGTAGAAGCTTTGCCATCGATTCGGGACAACAGAAGGTGGCTTCTTAATGTCAGGTCCAAAGAGGTCATTAGAAGAACAAATTTCAGTGTACTTTTGGTAAAGCTTGTTAGCGTGCTTAAATAACGCTCCAAACTTGATCACTACGGATCGAACATCAGACATGCATGGTAAAGAAATGGCATGGTCAACACTCACATGAATAAGGTGTGCTATATCTTTCACATGCAAGATTTGGATCCCTTCAGCCTGACAGATTTCTCGGACCATCTTTCGCATGTACTCCGCTGAGTCTGTGGCTTCTGCCACAATGTCTTTCCACGTCTTGCCAACCGTCAGGAGTGCCTTGCTAACTGCGCTGGCCACCGTGTAACTGTTCGATGCATTTACCCTGTCGACGTCGACCAGAACAATGTGCTTCTTCACGTTTTTCTGGCTATAGTAGCACAGGAGTGTGTTGATGGTAGGCACACCAGTGATGTCTGGGGATTCATCGACGATGACGCTCACCTTCACATCTCGCATATCATCGCGGATTTTCTCCATGTCCTTGTCAAAAGCTTCTTTCAGGTATTTCAGCCGAAGTCTTTGTCCTGTTGGCATGGTCTTCGCGGCCTTGCAGTATTTGCGTGCGAAGTCTCCCAGCGGTCCGTCCGCCTGGTGCATGCTTATTCCGCTGTACGCCAGGGCACGAACAAAGTCATGGATAACGCCGTCCGCTTCAGTTTCTTTCGCACGCTGTCTACAGGACATATCAAAAAGCGTCCGCTGAGACGTTCCCGCAGTCTCAGCTTCCTTGGAAGCCGTCTTGAACTTCTTATGACGAGATGACATTAGATGCTCACGAATTCGGTCGTAGGGCTTCTTCGCTGGATCGGTGACCATCTCGGTGTTGCAATATTTGCACACTAAAGTGCGGGTGCCTTTACTGTCTTTCGTTGCGATCTGGAGATCTTCATGTTCTTTACACCAGTCATCCAGTGTCTTTCGTTTTCTTCCCGTCTCCACGCTGAAGTTTCCGGTGCCGCCTTATGTCCGCGACGGTGGCTTTGCGCTCACAAGACGCGCCTGGTAATGCTAAGTGAGGATGGCGATATGCGTCTCGTCTCGTGTCGCGCGAGAGAGTGAGGGGCGTTCGCGCGGGGTTGGACGCTGGGGGAGGGTATGGCTGGCTTCTTCGTCGCTCAATCTCTCTCCCACCGACTGGTCACCCGTCCCTTCCGCGTGAAATTCTTGGAAGCAGGTGCACATAGCCGAGACTAATCTGCAGTGGGCAAAGGGGCCGATATCTTTGCTTTTCTTTCACCCTAAATTTGTTCACAATGTACTCGAAGCGTGGCCGGCCTCAAACGTGTTTCCCACTTTCTTCTGCAAGCATTTTTTAGGGGGGGGGGTGCATGTACGCTCTCACGCATGTGCGTGCAGAGGAGAGAGGGGATGTAAAGTTTAGAGAGGAGAAAGGGGTGACAAAGGAGACAGGTAGTGGTGAGAAGAGAAGGGGAAGAGCATCAACACGAGTTAGCAGCAACTCACGATTGTTCAGATCGCTGCAGGGAGGTTTGTTCGGGGAGAAATCGGGTTTAACCCGATTCTCCTGAAACTTGTTCGAGGTGCAAGAATCGGGTAAAAACGGGTTTTACCCGAAAACGAACAACCCTAAGTATACCATACGTCAATCTTTTGTTATTTCAATAGGCATGATCATTGGAATATGCCACAATCATTGCTTTGTATCTTTTTGTTTTGTAAAACATTGTTCTTTATATATGTGTTGGTATTCTGATTACACACCCCCTTTTTTTTGTTTGCATTTCTAACCAACTCATCGTTGGTCATTCCCCCCACTCCTTTGATAATGCCTTGAACTCGGCATTTAGGCTGAAATAAAGGAACAAAATGAAAACTGAAACAATATATCAACTGAGTCCACCAAGGTGCATCTCTGGCTAAGGTGCTGTAGGCTGCTGACCCGAAGGTTGCGGGCTCGATCCCTGCCATGGCGGTCGCATTTCGATGAAGGCGGAATAGCAGAGGCCCACCCGTGTACTCTGCGGTGTCAGCGAACGTTAAAAAACACCATATTTAAAATGCAACACCTCCGCATTCGCAAGGGATGGCTCAGTGCTCTTCCATCGTTGAGTACGAAGTACTCGAAATCGTTAAATATTTTTTCTAAACACATTACCGAACTTTCCGGAGCCCTCCACTACGGCGTCTCGTTGTAGTTCTTTATAGTTAAACCACAGATATTAATATTTAACATTTGTGGTGATGACAATATTTTTGCACATTTGGATTAGAATTTGCGGTTTTCGGGCGTTAAAACACAGGTATAATTATAGAACGTTTTAAGCAATAAAATATATTTTTTAATTACTTGTATATGACAGGAAATGTACACGTTCTATGGGGATTATTTGGCACGAATGATGGAGACAGTGCCTCGTTGTGACGAGCTTTTCCACCTTTCGTCACATATCAAGCTCTCAAAAACATCAGTATTGAAGTCCCTATTTATTCATTTGATTGATATGTGGGGTTTAACGTCCCAAAACCACCATATGATTATGAGAGACGCAGTAGTGGGGGGCTTCGGAAATTTCGATCACCTGGGGTTCTTTAAAGTGCACCCAAATATGAGCACGTGTGCCTACAACATTTCCGCCTCCATCTGGAATACAGCCGCCACCGCCGAGATTCGATCTCCCTACCTGCGGGTCAGCAGCCGAGTACCTTAGTCCCTATACCACCACGGCGGGGCCTATTTAATAATTTATATAACTTTTTTATTTCTTGATGGTACACGGATTCACTTCAGCTATGTAAGAACCAACAAGTAAGAAGTGTCATCTCTTCGCGCCAACCTCCTAATAATGTTGAGAAACAAAAGAAAACTACGTCCCCCACCCTTTAGTATTAACTTTATTGATTGATTGATTGATTTTTATTTTTTTTTTGCAACAACAAACGAAATAAATCTTGAATACGTGATGTACGGAATGACATCTCAGCCGAGTGCGTTGAAAAGCGTATTTGATAATGTCTTTACTGCCGTATGTAGCAATGACCCATCGATGCACAATCCAATATTACTAGAAAATGTTCAAAACAACGGGCGACCTCTTTCGGGCCACTGCTGAGCTACAAGTGGACCGTACCGATCCTGCGAATCTTCGTGATATTGGCGAACTTCCTAAGCCGTCTTCACTAAGAGAACTCCATAGCTTCCATGGGCTCTGTTCCAATTTCCGTGGATTTGTTCTTGATAAAGTTGTTCATCACAAACTAATTACAAAACTTAAGGAAATCAATCTACCCGATATTTCATTACCTGGATAAAACACTACTTATCAGAACGTTCACAGTTTGTTTCGACAGGTGGTAGGGATTCGAGCTAGCTTCCTATTACATCAGGCGTGCCGCAGGGTAGTGTCGTGGGGCTACTGTTATTTTTAATTTATGTGAACGACA